GAAGTGTCGGAGGCGGCTTTCTTGATCTCGTTTGCATGTTCCCTCACCCGATCGTTTAGGCATCGGCCCGTTTGTCCGATGTATTTAGCACCGCAGGACATGGGAATCGAATACACGCACTCTTTGCAGCAGGTTACATAATTGGTCTGGTGCTTTTTCTGGCACGTTGGCGCTGGACCGGGGTTGTTGACCTTTCTACAAATAGAAGCTAATTTGAACTTGCAGGAAAATACAACGTTGGTGTTGAAGCCGAGCGCAATAGATTTCAGGCGATGTGAGGTGTTGTGTATGTAGGGGATGCACGCGAAGCGTGACTTAGGAGGGAGGGGTTTGGACTTCTGCCCCGCGACAAGTCTTTTGATTGTTGTTTCAATCAGGTCTCTCGGGTATCCTGCCTTTATGAGGCGACTAATCTGCTTGGATAGGCTGGGGGCGGAAAGGTGCTGACAGGATTTAACCTTTGCCGAAGCAACTAGATTTCGAACGATCCCATTTTTTACATTCCTTGAATGTGAGCTGTTGAAAGGAAGAACGGGCTTAGAGGACCTCTGCTGGTGAGCCCAGCAGATACCTTTGCTAGTTGGGACCAACCTGAGATCGAGGAACTGTAAGCCCTCAGGGGAGGGGGCCTCTTTGGTGAACGTAAGCCCATGTGAGTTTTTCTGGAATACGGTCTCTATGGCTGCAGAGTCGGAGATGGTGGAGTGTAGGATGAGAGGTCCTCTAAGCCCGTTCTTCCTTTCAACAGCTCACATTCAAGGAATGTAAAAAATGGGATCGTTCGAAATCTAGTTGCTTCGGCAAAGGTTAAATCCTGTCAGCACCTTTCCGCCCCCAGCCTATCCAAGCAGATTAGTCGCCTCATAAAGGCAGGATACCCGAGAGACCTGATTGAAACAACAATCAAAAGACTTGTCGCGGGGCAGAAGTCCAAACCCCTCCCTCCTAAGTCACGCTTCGCGTGCATCCCCTACATACACAACACCTCACATCGCCTGAAATCTATTGCGCTCGGCTTCAACACCAACGTTGTATTTTCCTGCAAGTTCAAATTAGCTTCTATTTGTAGAAAGGTCAACAACCCCGGTCCAGCGCCAACGTGCCAGAAAAAGCACCAGACCAATTATGTAACCTGCTGCAAAGAGTGCGTGTATTCGATTCCCATGTCCTGCGGTGCTAAATACATCGGACAAACGGGCCGATGCCTAAACGATCGGGTGAGGGAACATGCAAACGAGATCAAGAAAGCCGCCTCCGACACTTCGGAGATTTGTTACCACCCGATTGCCAAACACACCTCTGAGTGCAGCGAACCCTGTTCGGCCGACCTTCCCTCGACCACCAGGATTGGAGGTCACGCCTCAAGATACGGACGAGAGATCATGGAGGCCTTCGCCATGCACTACAGTCACAGCAACTTCGGATCCCCGTCCATAGGCTTATCCAGGAGGGAGATAAACTTCCTGGGGCCAGAGCTGACGTCCCTCGTTTCAGCGGCTCCGAGCGATTAGATGTCTACCCCACGGGATCGTCCCTCATTTCCCCGGCTCTACACTCTCTCCCATCGCTTTCCCACTTTCCAGTGTACCGTCTTTCACCCTCCCCTCCTTCACCTATATATGCAAACTTCGGGTCAATAAATGTTGTTGCTAGTTGGAAGTCTTCGTTGTCCGTCCCCCCTTTCTATGTATCTTCCTCATGTCTAATTACCGTTACCAACACGCTCGTTTTGTACTTAACAGGGAAAAGTTTTTGAACGAATCCAAGAACATTGAGTGGCCGACGCCATGGTGAAGGACTCCGTTGCGGCCTGTACAGTTGTTTACGCTGTGGAGTTCTTACGTTTCCTCAATCCCTTCGCGTTGGTATGGCTGCAGGTAACGTTTTCTCTATCACGGGTTAGTAAACGACTTTTCTAACTCCCAGCCGTTAAAGATGACGAAGTACAACGCTTCTACAAGAGTCGATCGGAGTCAGAGCTCTCCTTCGACAGAAGCTACAACTTCGTTGAGGGGCGGCTATCAATCTTTTGTAGTTTCCCGTGTTTTTTTGGAAACCTATGGAATGAAATCTGCCAATACAAAATTAAGTGTTTATTAAAATGCAAGTACCACTCGCTGAGCTGGGCGATTTGAGCGGGATTATGCGATTTTTACGTTTCGATGACTTCCATCATTTTAAGAGTTAGAAATCCGCGAACACGAAGAAGCAATGCATCGTGTAGAAATTTGGCGGAACCCCGGCCATCCCAAATTTCTACACCGCACATTGCTTCTTCGTGTTCAAATACGTGGACCCATACGAGCCATCGCTAGTAGATGGTAATAACGGGTTTTATGCACGATGATGATAGTGTACAATAAATAATAGAAAAGCAAGTAAAACATTAGGTTGCTCTACAGGGTGTCTGAAAATAAAGTTTCGACACTAAAATCTCCTGCAGAAATCAGGGACTTGACGTAAGAAGTAGAAACATACCTCGAATAGGTATTTTACCGGTTGGATTTATGCATTAAAACTTTAAGTTCCAATCTCAAATACAAAATAAAAAGAAAAAAAAAACCACGTTTTTAAAGGGGACAGTCTTTTATTTTTAATGTTTGTTGTACATAATCTATATGCTTGGAATTTTTATGACTCAATGGGACTAGTAAAATACGTATTCGTGGTAAGTTTCAACTTGATACGTTGAGCCGCTTATTTTTGGGTGTCTCAATAATGTTACAAGCTACAATTAATGGCCCGTCAAAAATCAGCGACTGAGCGTATCAAGTTGAAAGTTTCCTCGAATACGTATTTTACTTTTACCATTTGCACAATAAAAATCCATGTTTCTACTTCAAGTGTAAAACAACAACAACAACAACAACAACAACAACAACAACAACAACAACAACAACAACAACAACAACAACAGCAACAACAACAGCAACAACAACAGCAACAACAGCAACAACAACAACAACAACAACAACAACAACAACAACAACAACAACAACAACAACAACAACAACAACAACAACAACAACAAAAACAACAACAACAACAACAACAACAACAACAACAACAACTAATTTTTAGGACATTTTTGTATTTTTGTTTATACTTGGTAAGTTGTGTAAATGGGACCGGTAAAAAGACGTATCCGAGGTAAGTTTCTGCTTGATACGTCGAGACCCTGATGTTTTGAACTCCGAACAAGCATCTTTGCAGATATTCGTCAGCAGAAAGAAACAAGCCAGCAATAATTTATTGCAAATTGGACTATATTACGTGGCCTTCAATTTATTTTGATCGTCCGCGTGCCCAAGGGGTTACCAGTGTTATTGCGTAGTTCTTGCTGTCTCTCTTGTCTTTCTACGAGTTCTTCGTTCGTTTGGCACGTATATTCCCCATGCTGGAAAGCGCCATCGCCTTGTTCGCGCTAGCAGTGTCTGACAATGTACCTAAATCCATGTGCGAAGCCGTTTGACCACAGTCTTTAATGCCATAAATTTGAAATAAAAACACCGTAACGGACGACTTATTTCACCTGCGTGACTGAGGAATGTTCCTATCTACCTAGTAAGTGGGAATTATTCGGGATATTTGCTTTTATAATAAAGCGCAGGAAGGAAATGCACTCACTTTTTCAGATAGAAATGCTGTACCGGAAGTCAATTTCCGACTGGTTGCTGTCTGCTTCAATTTGCCAGAGCGCACTAGCGCCAGTTGAACGTCTCGCACATAATAACAACTCTATGGTCTCAACTGCGTTCATCAAACGCTTTCGAATGCGAAAGCCAAACGCAGGACGCCGGCGTTCCGCGTTCTAAAGTGTTCGACGAGTGCGGTGGAGACAAAGGCTGCTAGCTTTCTGTCTACCCCCTAATCGTTCCAATCTGAAAGCTCGGCGTTCTGACGTCTCCTCGCCCTATCGTTTTCTCCTCTCCCTCCATTTCTCGGCGCATTGATAAGAAGATCGCGTCTTCTCAAATGCCTGCGAGTGATTTTTTTTGCTCACAGCTGAACAGTGTGCCGTTCAGACAAATTGCACTGCTCATCGTACAGTTCAGCATCGCTCAACCGAGCAATGCTTAATCGGGACATCTTGTAACAAGGGCGCAAAAAGTAAAGAGATCGATATTCCAGTCTCTTGGACATGTAAAGGATTATCGTTATTACAGCGATATCTGTTAGTGGGATACTTCGTGGTTTTACGTCGTCGACCGCGCTCCATATCGACGCGGGGCATTTCCGGCACTCCGCCAAAACATACCACAGGGCGCTAATAACAAGAAAATGAGAAAGCAAGACAACCTGCATGGTCAGTAAAATAGTCCCCGCCAGTCAATCTGGCTGTGCACTATGATAGGTGCCCATGTGACCCAGAATTAGCACAAACAACAATTCTCGGGAGATGCGCAGATGAAACTGCCTTAAAATTTTACGATGCATTCTGTATCAGAAAGCAAGGGGAAGGCAAGTGCGTTAGTGACCCGTCAATCCACCTGACAGATATAGAGTTTTAGTTCCTAAACGAATAGCCAAAAAAAAAAAAGGTATTAGCAGTGTGCATGTGTTTCAATAAAAACCTTGATTTCAGAGTGCACTTCGTCTTGTCTACTTCTTGTCCCTGATTATTCGACGCTTTTCGTTTAGCAGGTTTGACTATTTGTACCGTAGTAACGTACGAAAACACACCCCCTGCTGCGCAGGCAGCTGAATTGCTCTCTACTTAGTACACCCTTATTGGTTCCAAAACGCTGTGGAATTTCGGTTCGGTGTGCTACTCGGTTTAATACGAAACGCCGATGCGGACTCTATGGTGCGCGCTAGCACCTTTACCGTTCATTCAGTCCATCTGCTCCGAGATGACACCTTAGAGCGTCTTCGACGTTACACTCCAGGTGTCGCTTTGTTTCACCTTACGGGTTGCGCAAGTGTTAAAATGTTTTTCCCCAAACACCCTCCGTAAAGTCTGTCGTAGTGTAAAAGGAACCGAAATGATCTTTGTACAGGTGGAGACGGAAGCGATTTTCACTGTTCAAGGAAATCGGAATACCTGGACCTACGCCAAGTTTGTTCTCCGGAAATCTTACTGAGCTCATTGAGAAAGTAAGTTCAATGAACTCCGTCTTTAGAAAATTAGGTAAGAGAGAATCGTCTTGGGGTGTACTTGTCATATTCTTTTATTATTGCTTGATATGTTTACATAGTATCGAGTGACAAATGCTTGAATCAGAAGTCATGCACCCGAAGGGATGCTTGCGTATGCTTGGGCAGAACACCCTTTCTGCCTTTTATTGGGATCTAAGTAGGTTGACGAGGTCAAAGAAAGCATTTCGACCTGAAAATCCAGCCTGCGTTATAGCTATCAGCATAGGGTAAATGTATGAACTGTCAAAAAATAATGTCAGAACGCGGACTTTATTTTTTAATTGTTTTTCTTACCTCGTCATTCTTTCAGCTTCCTTTGTAGACTGCGATATTTGGCTTTCTGAGCGCTCTGTGGAGAGTGGATCCACGTGATTTTGGCTCACTGTGTCTTTGCGCTTGGTCATTCGAGCTCTTATTTGCATTTTTATGCCATGTTTTTTTTAGGGAGCTGCCCAATCGTTTGAAGACTGGATTAAGAAGTACGGAGACGTTGTTGGGTAAGCGATAATTTTTGCCGATTAGCCTATTTGTTAGAAATAAATGATATAGTTTCTCTAATTCAGAAAAAAAAAAAACGCACATGAAGTTTGTTTTGTGGAAAATCGTTAAGAAAACTTGAATAACAATAATGATCAATTTGAGTGGTAAATAAATATAATGGCTAAGTAGTGTAAGGCATTTGTTTTGTTTCCTTCATCACCAAAATCCCCTGTAGGTTTTACAATGGAGCTAAACCCATGTTGATCATCCAAGACCTGGACTTGATCAAAAAGATTCAGATCAAGGACTTCAGCAACTTCCACGGAAGAGGGGTGAGTCACAACGTCCATTGCACAAATCTTGGCTTATGTATGGTTTATTCTTTTTTAGTTTTTGTTTCTTTACGAGTCTATTTTAATTTTGTGCTTTCGTTGCCTGGAATGAGGCAACGTCTGGTTCTTTTGCTGGGGTCTGTGGTGACGTAAGAACGCCGAGTTCTAATTGGCTCTAATTGGAGGATAGTGGTTAGACCTCAAGGCAGCTTGCTTCGAGGTCTGCTCATCATCCTTCAATTAGAGCCAATCAAAGCTCGGCGTTCTGATGTCACCACATCCTCTGCAAAAGAAGCAGACGAACTTGCACTCCCTATACCAACTAGCAGACGAGGCGTGCGAATTTCCAAACGTCACCAGATTAGATCAACGCAGCACACCCTATAGCTTGCGTCAGCATCGCCGCCAGAGCCTCTTGCAGCGCCTCACGACAAGCGCGACGCTAGAACGTTGGACGCCAAGACGAACGCGTCTGTCGCTCTGCGGCGTGTCTCGTCGGGCTTCGGCGTGTTGCCGCTTGAAGCGAGTCGTGTATCCACTAACTAGAGTTTTTCGACACGCTTCCCCCGAAGGGGGAGCAGAGTTGCGCGTTTGGTATATTCCCCGAGCCGCCACGCCACTATTCGCCGATATCAATCACGTGAGGACCGAAGCATCCAGCACCGTGCAGGAAAGCTACCGCTACGGTCGCTCCACCGACGTTGCACGCGCCCCGGCGTACATTTCCCTGCTTCCGCCTCCTTCTCCTCCTTTCCTGTTCTCCATGCGCGGCGGCGCATGACGAGCAAAGCATCCAGCGCCGTGCAGGAAAGCCGGTGCTACGGCAACCCGCCGGGGCTGAATGCGCAACTCTGCTACCATAGGTAGCTATAAACAGGAACTCTGCCACTAACTAGAGTTCTTCTATAGACTCCCTACGTGAACCAGAATTGCGCGTTCATCCCCATAACTTCGGCTTTCCTGCATGGCCCAGGATTCTGCTCATCATGTAACTGAATTCGCCGAGGCGCGCGCGTTGCGTGCTCCTTCTCTTTCTTTCCTGGCAAACAGGAAAGGAGGTGAAGGATGGGGGTTGCCTCAAAGCCAATCTCTGATTGGCTGATTGAAGGATAGTGGGTATACCTCAAAGCATGGCTCCCTTGAGGTCTTCTACTCACTATCCTGCCAATCAGAACCAATTAGAGCTGGGCGTTCTGACGTCATCACAACCATTGCAAAAGAAGCAGACGAACTTGCGTTTACCTTATAAAGCTTTCACCTTATAAGGCTTTCACCTTATAAAGCGCGGACAATAAACGAAACTTAATCGTATTTTTTTTCTTGATAAATGTGCCTCTTTGGTGCGACATAATAATACCATATTAAGGTATATAATAGGGTTCGCAATACTTAGTGAGGAGTTGATGCGTGCAGGTGGTATCTCCGATTTCCAAGGAGCACCATCTGGGCAAACTCAGTCTTATAAATGTGGACGGAGAACGATGGAAGGACATGCGAAGCCTCCTGACACCCGCTTTCACCTCAAGCAACATGAAAAAAGTGAGTCATAGTTCAACCAGGCTTGCTGAACAGAGCATCTGTCTGGCAATAAACTTGGTAAAAATTTTGAAAACGGCGAGCGAGAAGTGTTGTAAAAACAAAGCAGTAAATATTGCAGGTGGTAAAAATCCAACATTTCGAGTAAAGCATTGACGTCGGAAGTGGACTTTACTCAATAGTATACTCAATTTACTACAGTCAGTGAACTAAACACAATATAGAGCGACAAGAGAAATGCGCACTGTGAATTGCTAAAACATGGTCGGTGTTTACTAGCTAATCGTCTAGCTGGTTCTCAAACGTTTGACCGTACGACAAACCTCCTAATTTACTCGGAGGTTGTTCGGGGGCCCCAGTGCATTCTACATCAGAAGTCTTGTGCAATGGCACAGAAGAGTTTTTTTTTTGTTTTTGTTTTATAGCTGTTTAAAATGAGCACGTACCCCCATGAGTGTTCTCGAGGACACCTGTGGGTTCGCAGATCACAGTTTGAGAACCGTTGGTCTAGTTTTTCAGAGATACGTTTACACGGTTCCAGTTATTCTAAAATTGTTTCGAGAATAGAAATTAATTTTTATTTTTGACGTTGGTATATAGAGGGGATGAGCTTTGTGGATCGTGTGTGTTTACGCATTTCTGCTACTTCATTTTGTTATAATTTTATTTATCATCATGATCATCATCATCATCATCATCAGCTCTTTATTTCTGCCGTTAGTATGTGAGGCCCAAGGGCGGATGCAGGAATTTCCTGAGAGGGGGGTCAGGTGTCGGTCAGCGTACCATTTGTTTAGGAACCCCCTCCCCCTCTACCTAGTTTCACGCCCTAAATTTCAGACATGCAGAATTCAAGAGGGGGGTCAGGACATCCGGACCAACCCTCTAAATCCGCCCCTGTGTGAGGGGATGAGCTTCATGGATCGTGTGTGTTTACGCATTTCTGCTACTTCATTTTCTTATAATTTTATTTATCATCATGATCATCACCATCAGCATCAATATCACCGGAATTATCATCATCATCATCAGCTCTTTATTTCTGTTCCCCCAAACAACATTTGTCTGTCTTTACCACGTCTAGCCTCCATTACCACATCAAGAGTGTGGTCATATTTTCACCACGACTAACCTTCATTGCCGTGGGGATTGCTTTTCATGTTCTACTTTTCGTGGAACAGCAAATGAAAAAAAAAAAAGCACACACACATGTGGGCATCGGAAGACAACATGCTAATACAAGATGTGAACACCGGGCTGTCTTGATTGCTGATTTATATATAAAAAAAGAAAGGAAGCTGGTTGTCGGCCATAGGCTTTAAGATGAACGCCCAATTCTTAAATCAAAGTATATAGTTCCCCTCCCGACCGCCGCAAAAGTGGCGGTTGAATATCGTTGAAAATATTGCAATCCTTGTACCTTGAACCTCTCTTGCAGCTATCACATCTGATGGACGTCTGCTCCGATGAGTTTCTGGAAGTTCTTGATTCCCTCCATGACCAAGACAAGGCATTCGAAATAAGGGCGGTCTTCCAGAAACTTACGATGGACGTGATCGTTAGGTCGGCCTTCGGAGTGCAATCGGACGTTCAAAAGAATTCCGAAGTGACGGGCATGAATGCGATGATCAAGGAAATAATGGAAAGCCTGCAGCAGTTTCGCACGGGCTGGCTGACGTTTCTCGTCGGTAAGCACCTCATACAGAACATGTGATCATTTATCCTCTGAATGCTAGAATATTTTTTTCTTCTTAATTTTCTCCTAAACTGCCATCACAGCCAGACACGTAGGTAGAAAAGAACGGACTGGGAGAAGAGGACTTACCTCCATAAATTGTCCTATGCTTAGCTAAATTTGAAAGAAAATAAAAACAAAATAAAGCAGAGTTTGTTTTGTGGCTAGAATTGTCACAGGAGCGTCACGCGACGGCTAAATGTAGCGGTCACGTGACGTCAATAGAGGTCAGGTGACGTCACTCGTCCTTGCATGGGTGAATTCTCCGTTCACGGCAGTTTCGCGGAAGCCTATGCATCTTAGGCAAGATTCCCGAAATTTTCTTACGACAAAAAAGTTCGTAAAGTTATCTTACGACGAAGTTACGAACTTTTGAGTAAGTTCGTAAGTTTTGCGTAAGTTATGACGAAATCATGATTTCGTTGTAACTTACGCAACACTTGGGGAAAGTTTGTTTCGGGAATACTTGAAAGATCGTAACTTTGTCGTAATATAAATTCATCAACTTTTTTTGTCGTAAGGAAGTTTCGCAATTCTGGTCTTTTGGTTTTTGCCTGTAATGACTGATTACTTTGGACGTTCCAAAACTGCTCGATTATCTCATCAGTCGATTGGATTTTGCTGCATTATTGCGGGTCATATGAGCATTAACAGCCAAACAGGCATTTTAAGTGTACTTTTCAGTCTTTGAAGATGCTCAGAATAGAGCTGCAACGCAATGTCTGGTCTTCAGGGTTAAAGATAATGAAGCTCGTGTCAAAGATAATGAAGCCCATCATAAAAGCAATCGCTCTAATATAGGTTTTTTAAACATACTAATACCTTTCTATATGGGCCCATCCGGAATAAAAAAAAAATATATATATAAATTGTTTTCACGAGAGTTTTAAAGACAAGCTCAGTTTAGAATATATCTGGTATCGTCGTGCGTTCTCTAATACATTTCTGGGGAACATTCTGTCCGTTTTTCAGCTTGCCTTCCAGAATTTTCTCTTCTATGGAAATTGGCATTTCTTTTGAGGGAACGTTTCATGAAGGCACCGTCGGACAACATCAGATATGGCATCATGCCGATAATTGACATGCGCAGGTCTAATCCAGAGGCAAGTGTCCCTTTATATAGTTAGTAACAGGTTAAAAAGACACGCCAGACGCGGCGAGTCCCGAGAATTGTGTTAGATCTCCGCAGACAAGATTGCAGCATTAGCCGATAAGAGGGCTGAGGAACGAATTTCGAAGCAAAAAGCGAAGATATAATAACCGACGCCCCGCATTTTTTAAGCTCTCAAAGACAATACGGCGTGCGAACAGCAACTGAATTTGTGCGAACAGCGGAGATGCGGGTGTCCTAGTTGAACCTAGAAAAAAATTCAGCCTTTTTAATCCAATGTTTTCAGGCTAAACCTTAAAAGAGGTTCAGCCATACTTAATCCTCAGCCCCCACCCCGGGAAAGCACCGAAGGTTTAAGCCCAACTGACCCGGTCCTCATTTTCCTTTTCCGTGTTATTGAAAACATTTGCCATAAAAAACCTAGAAAGAGGAACGTGGTGAGACTGGTGTAGTGGAACGTGAGATACTATGAAAGTAGGAAGTAACAAGCCTTGCTAACCGTAGAACAAAGATGACAATTTTGCCCCATGACATTGTGTTAATTGTATGTATAGGATGAATAACTACTATGTTGAATAGAGCAAATATTGGAGATTGTCACAGCAAATTTGTGTATTTTCCTCAGACTCGTCGAGAAGATCTGCTGCAACTTTTGCTGAACGCTGAGGCCGAAGAAGGGGCAGCTGTAAACGTTCATCAGCTCACTGTGGGCTACGAAGGCGAGACATCACAATGTGAGTTAGTTTGATTCAAGTTTTAAGCGAGTCTGACAATTAAAGTTTGTCTATGGCTGCCTTCACAGAAAGGCTGACGTAAACTAAACTTGTGACGTCACAATAAAAAGGCAAAATTCCCGGACAAAAAAAAAAAAAGAAACAAAAAAACTATATGCATGATTGGCATCAGCGGGTAACTTTTCATTTATGCGGAACGTGGGACATTGATAAAAACTAGAAAAATTGGCAACTAAAACAAAAACTAAATCATTGGTTTCGGGGCCTCGGCTTTCTTCCGGGTCGTCGTCTAGGATACGGTCAGCCATATTACTTGTGGAAAGAACCACATCCATCGCCGAAGCGGCAACTGCGCATTACAAAGCGACGCGGCGCCTGCTCGGGTCTGGCTCCGCGCCAGCTGTGCGACGCTCGTATTGGTCCGAAGCGCTGACGTCATTCTCTTCCTCTCTTCCTGCCGCCGACACGATACCTCCTCACCACCCCACTCTACTCGCCACGTTTAGCGTGACGCTGAAACACGGACTGGCTCAGGCAGGTTTTCTCGAAAACGAGCGTTCCAATGCTAACGCATTAAAAAATGAACGACAGGAAAGAAACATATGCAATAGAGTTTCTACAGTAACTTTCTTTATAGATGACTCGTCTCGTTTTGTTTGAAATGACATAAATAAAATTGTGTTCGATAGCATTTACAGTTCCCACCGTCCCTGATTGCACCTTGAGCCTATAGTAAGGTATGATTATTTAAAACGTACAACGAAACAGACGGGGACGGAAGAAAGGAGTCAAACAACCGCTGAACTTACAACTTAAGTTTTAATCGTCAAGGCGCAGACTATATACAGGATTTTACAAATGAATACACACAAAGCCACCCCACTAAAACCCGCACAATCATCGCGCCTGCTGTCGTCTTGAAAGGAAATCGAATTCTTTAGCCGACAAAAGAGCCGACGTGACGCTGACACACTCTTCCCCCAAGCACGCTATTGCGCCTGCCTCTATAATCGCCCTGGTCAGGGTATTGGCACTTCTTCCAATGACAGTACATTTTTTTTAAATTCCGCATCACAGCCACAGTCATGACAAAAAGTGTACTATCATAGCATGGAAGAAGTGCCATACCCTGACCAGGGAGATTATAGAGGCAGAGGCGATAGCGCGTTTGGGGGAAGAGTGTCAGCGCCCCGTCGGTTAATCGTCACGACGACACCATGCGCGATGCTTGTGCGTGTTTTAAAGGGGTCTTATTGGTTTGTGTGCTTCCTTTGTTTGATCGTGTATATAGGCTGTACCTTGGCGATTAAAACTTCAGTTGTAAGTTCAGCGGAAGTTTGTCTCCTTTATTTTTTCCGTCTCGTCTGTTTCGCTGTACGTTTTAAATAATCATGCCTTACCAAAACGCCCCCAAGCTTCCAGTCTGAACCTAGAAAGGTACTTCTGAAAACTTGAATTCTTTTACCAATGGATTCAGATTCACTAATTGAGCGCACAGCGTTTGTTGTACTATGTGTTGTGCGGAGAGAGGTTTAATTGATCTTAAAGTCTTTTTTTTTCTGACAACTAAACTGGGTTTCTTTCTCAGTAGCAGAATCTAAATCAAGCGGGCGCAAGAGGAGGACTCTGAACAATGCCGAGATACAGGCCAACGCTATAGTCTTTCTAATTGCTGGGTAAGTTGGTATAAATTGCACTAAATCACTCATGCCGCGCAGAGAAAAATCACACTTTTCATCATAATATAAGAATGAAAGAACGCATCCTACAGATGCATCTCCATTAGCGCGTAAGGACGTTACATGGTTGATGAAAGCATATGCTTATAAGCCGCTCCCCATGCAGAAATCAGTAATCTGAGTTTATATTGCTAGAATGCAGTAAACAATATAAATGAAGTTACGTGGAGAACAAGTGATCCATCTAATGCACTTAAAGCTGCATTCGCTCATCTTTCTGTGCATAATCGGGTGGTGAAGATAACATTTCTGATCTGCATATAGCCGTTGGCAACTACGACCTTTGGGTACCACCATATTGCTGCTGGCGTGTGTATATTGTCTGATAGTGAAGGCTTCTGAAGTCCTGCCCATGGTTGCAAAACTTGCGCCCAAAAAAAGCATTATCTATCCAAGGTAGTTGGTCAGACTAGTTTTTAAAGCACGGTCGGGAAAAAAAGCATTAGGATGACATGCTAGTGTTCCTGTGAATATGAAGTCTGCATCGAACTTTGATGAAAACACGTGGCAAAAAAAAACAGAAGAATGAATCCTCAAGCCAAGACGCTATATGCCAGGAAGTCAACGACGACTCGCAGCACCTATAGGTCCCACTGTTTGGAAACTTGCTGGGAAACAAGTCCTTTTCCTTAGTGGTTCCTCTGAGAGTTACCAATGACGGTCCTTCAAGAAGCTATCAATGACGTTTCTTCACGAAGTGGCGGTTGCTCGGGGAGTTTCAGATGACTGTTATTTTTACAGAGTTACAACGTGCGGTTCCGTAGAGACTTATCAATGGCGCTTCCTCAGGGAGTAACAGGTGTCATTTTTTTAGAGAGTTACCAATGTAGTTCTTCAGAGAGTTTCCAAGAACAGTTTACGGTAATTTCTGAGATTCTAGGACATTCGCCCTTCAGCAAAAACGTTGTAAGACGTGATTTCAGCCGCACATCTGTATAACTCTGGCAGCATTATAAACAGAAAATGGTACAATGCTAAGATTAATTATAACCCGAGAAACGTACACATTAACACGCGATTACTAGCATACCAAAATTCGCAAAAAGGGTCTGCGTCCCGACACTTATTGCCCTGTAGAGACTACGCGTCTAAGCCTTGGTGTCGGTGGCGCTGCCATTTTGTTCAAACATAATAACAAGCAATTCAAAGAGATTGTTAAAGCGTATAAAAAAAAAAGAAAGAAAAGAAGTATCATATGTCATACTACCATCCGTAACCCTGCTGGACAGTGAGGCAACTTTTTTGGTCTAGGATAAGGGTAGTTTCAGTTTGAGAATGTTTGTTCTGTATTCTCGTGGAAGTCTAGAAGTGTCAATAACACCAGAAAGGGAGTTATTTATTTGGAGTCTTTCTAAGAAATAATCAGTTGATAATCAGCGCTTAATCCTGTGGTGAACGTTTCATCACTATGACAGTCCCTATTTTGCATTATTTTCTATGGACAACCATTTGGAATATCTTGAATTTCTTCTGTCCATCATAATAAGGAACTTTCATCTACCCAAGGATTAGAATAGCGTCAGACACGGGAGTAGACACCCAAGTTCACGTAGTAGACATCCACTTTATCAGAGCAAACACTGGAAAGGAGGCAAGTATTTCCTCCCCCGTTTTCTTTCGCCTCCTCCCCAGCGTACTCTCTGTAAAGTGGAAAGAGTGGAAGGCTTCGCGGGAGCAGCTTTTCTTGCTTTTCTTTACCTGCAACAGGGCATTAGACGTGTTAAGCCCGAAATTCCGCAGGATAGGATTCGCAAGCACGAAACAGCTCCACTCATTGTCCAAGGAACTGAGCTGTCCTGGACATGAGGCGGGGCGTTGTTTTGATGGGCATTAATTAAGAAAAATCACAAGAAAGTTTGATTTTTCTTTTTTTGGAGATTACACAAGAATGCTGTGTCCCTACTTAGCGGCCGCTTCGCTACCTATCTCTCTTCGAAAATTCAGGGTTGGCGTTTTTTCTGGAATTTTTAAATTCCAACAGACTATATCCAGAAGTCCTTGCTGATTGTGATTCGTTCTACGGCATACTTAGGGAATAAGGCCCCGATCTTATCGTCTCGCTTCGGCCCACGGGTTTTAAAAGAAAGTAGCGCCGAAGCAAAACCTTTCTGGATGATGTCTGTGGTTGGCTGACAAGTTCTTCCCTAAGGCAAACGAGGTTCTGCTTTATGTAGGTGCTACATTCCTACCGACTATTGCATCAAAATATTTATCTCTGTATCAAAATGAGCTGATCGGCTAGTTGGTTTCGCATATTCACAATGTAGCGGGAATACAAAACAGGAAGGAGAATGATATAGGAAAGAACGCGGTTTTTCCTATCTCTGTCTCCTTCCTGTTTTGTCTTTGCGCGACTTTGTAAATATCTATCTCTGACCAAATCGCGAGAGTCACAAAGTATTTTGGCCTATGTTACTTTCACCAACACAGTTTTGAGACGACGAGCACGGCTTTGACGTTCACGACATACCTGCTGGCAAAGTTCCAAGACGTCCAAGACAGACTGAGGAGCGAGATAACTGCCGTACTGGAGAGAGACGTAAATATATCTACGCAGTTTTCTTAAAATTGTATTTTTAAGCAAAACGTACGTAAGCGATTTTAAGAGGTGGACTATTTACCGTCATAAAAGGGCTCACAGTCATTGGACCAACCGCCATAAAACCATGCCCGAACTTTGCATTAAAGCGCGTGATACTACGTAAGAACTAACACTTTGCTCTGTATTTACTTTAACCGCGACTTACTGTATCGCAATTTGTACACTTGAAGTGATTGCAGAGCACGGCTATGTAAATACTTCGAACCAGCCGTGACAACAGGCGGACAAGTTATCAGGGTAGTTATTTGACGCCACGTCTTACTGACAATTAATCTTACTGACAACTACTGACAATGGACAATTAGAAAAATAAAATAAAGGGAGCTTTACTTATTTGCACCTGAAATAAACACATCCTCATTTATAAAAAGTCACATTTATGGAATAGTGTGCCACATAGCACGCACACATAATACTTATTGTTTTTTCTGGCTGTGTCAGCAAAATTAAAATGACAGACAGGCTTCCGCCGAAACCTTAGCAAAGTGAGTGATTTACTGAAAAGTCCCACAAACACTGCAAATGGCAAAGACAATAAGATATTTTTTTTTTTTAAAGCAGGGTATGCATGCTGAAATCTACACTCTTTGAAATAGGGGTTGTATAGGTGTAGACCACTTGTCTTATATGTAACACCCAAGAAACCACATTTGGACGTTTAGTCCACTGATGTCGAGCTGGCGGTACCAACTTTTACGAGCAGCGTGATAGCTGTTGGATGTAACGCATTAAGTAGATAATGTGCGAAAAAGACAAAAAAACAACAAAAAACACTGAGGTTTTGGCAGCAGGGCTAAGAAAACCTTGATTGTCTTACTGTAGCCTTTAATTCGTACATTAATTATTTTTATAAGTTGTATCAGCCGTACTTTAAAGTTGGTATCTTCGTTTTGACATCTGTGGACTGAACGTCGAATTGTTGTTTTGGGCTGTTCCATATAGGACAAGGGATTTGCCCCTATACAACCCCTATTTCTTAAACTGTAAGGTTCTCAACGTTTCCTCACACTTGCGTTACTGCAATTTCTATTATTTCCCTGACTATTTTGACATACTTGAGTGTTAGAATCATACATTTTTGCAAGTAAGAAAACTATTATATTTGTTAACACTCAACCAATGCTTAATTTATTTCCTCTAATAACAAAAAAAAACAAAAACAAAAAACAGCAACAACAACAACACAGATGTGTAAACAAATATGACCATCTGCGCAGTCACAAGTTTCGAAATGTGTACTTTGATAAATTGCTGATAAGTTAGATTATAAATTGCTGATAAGTTAGATAAGCTAAGAAGAAATTATTGGCGACTTCTAAAGAAGAATAGCGCTGAAAGTTCATAAGATTAATATTTTGAGTGAAATGTTTTCTTAATTAGCATCTTGAAAATGGGCCTGTTACACGGAGCGCTTACTGATTGCATGTCCACACTAAGAATGTATGAAGTTATATACTACGTGATAGTCGTATTAGTCGTTTTTAACGTTCAGTAAAGTTCATCTTGACTGCAGGTAACCTGAGCATACATGATTGTTTTAGGGAAAGTTCACCTACGACAACGTCTTCGGCATGCGGTACCTCGACCAAGTGATCTCGGAGTCGTTGAGGTTCTACCCACCGGTCACCGGGTAAAGGAAACCCCTTAATATGAAAGGCTTCCACACCTTTTTAATGTAATGGAGGAAAGCACTTATAGAATTGACGTTGCCACAGGTTTTTAGGCACCATAATCAAAGCCAGCCAAATGAAACCAAGGGCGTGGCATATGCGGAGTGCAAGTTGGTCTGCTTCTTTTGCAGGGGTTGTGGTGACGTGAGAACGCCGCGCTCTGATTGGCTCTGATAGAAGGATAGTGGGTAGACCTCGAAGCAAGCTGCCTTCAGGTCTACCCACTATCGATCAATCAGAGACAATCAGAGCGTGGCGTTGTTGTGACGTCATCAAAACCCCTGCAAAAAGAAGCAGACGAACTTGTGCTCCGAATATGCTTTCAGCTGCCTTAGATAGGCAGATGTCGTTCTACAGTGTGTCTGAAATAGTGGCCAGGCTTTTAAATGGATCGCAATAATTGGTCTCTTAACCTATCGCGCTACATATTTTGTGCAACGTTGCCCACAGATGGTGCATTATTTCTATAAAATTTGCAAAAAGGAAAAAACGGAGGAAAAAGTAAAAAAAAAAAGAAAGATGAAGTCTTAACTCGCATGGAAACGCAGCGAAGCCACCGGTGTTCAAACAATAGAATGTCGTTTGGCACGGGAGACAAGAGATGGCGCAAGTGGTCGCGACGCCAACTGCCGCCAACGAACGAGCGTACGGCGCCGTGAGCCGACGTCAAATAGCAGGCAATATTTTCGACTCAAAAGCGGTGCAAGCTTTTTCGATGTCAGTTGTCAATGCACGATTTTATCGTCCTTACAAATAAAACATAATGAATGAACACATATTCGATTGAAAAAAAAGAGAAGGTTTTTCGAGTTATTTTGACTGTTTTTTTTTTTTTTTTGTGCACTTATGCCCCCTGCTTTACAGTTCCTTTTGTTACCGCGCCTGTTTTTGGTTCTGCAACTGTCGCCGCCTGCGGAATGCGCACCGCTTTTGACTAGAAAAAATCGTCTGCCAAAGACGCCGGCTCTCGGCGCCGTACGTTCGTTTGTTGGTGGCAGTTGGCGTCACGACAACTTGTGCCATCTCCTGTCTCCCGTGCCAAACGACGCTCTATTGTTTCAAGACCGGTAGCTTCGCTGCATTTCCATAGGAGTTAAGCCTTTATCTTTTTTTCCCTTTTCCTCAGCTAAGTTCGCTCTTTGCAAGTAGTATAGAAAAAATGCAGCATCTGTGGGGAACGCTGCAAAAAGTCGTAGCGCGATTAGTTAAGAAACCAATTTTTGGCGGTCGATTTAAAGAGCCTGACCGCTGTTTGAGGCACGGCGTATTTTATTTCTTCTAAAAAGACAAATGAACGCAATTGTAGTCGCTGACGAATTAACGCAACGTGCGCCTGATAAAGTTTACGCTCTTGCTTCCTGGTTCGTTATTCGACGTTTTTATCACCAAATGCCGCAATTTTATTGGCTTTGAAGTAATAATGAGATGACGGGAACTCACCACAGCCTGCGTTTTGTAAGCTGCCCGCGGATACAGTTGGTTTCAAAGCCATAAGGGCGGTCGCCAAGTATCGTAAACATTTTTGTTTTTGTTTTGTTTGTTAGGTTTATCACGAGAACCTGCCAGCACGACTACGAGCACGATGGACTTAAGATCCCGGCCGGAATGAACGTTGTGATTCCTCCGTACCAACTTCAGCACGATCCAGACTTGTGGACTGAGCCCGAGAAGTTTGATCCGGAGAGGTGAGCCTGAGAAGAACAATCTTGCCCTCCTCGAACACATGTGAAGCGAAATATACGACCGCAATATTCGAGTGAAACATCCACGCGCAATTCCCACTAATCGAATAACGGTAACGTGACAACACAAAGCCTTTTTCCAGAACATAGGAAAGGCTCCGCTTGTGCGAGCACGCATGCTGACGGTGTACATAAATGGATTGATATTCCGAACATTGATGATAGTATTATGTTTGCTTCCTTGCTCTTGTTGAGCAACTCGAGAGGTAATGACATCCCGTGGTAAGGATAAGAAGAAAAACTCATCAGCTAAATTTTCATTTCATCGTTTGTGGTTTACTTCTTTTCGCTTGCCATTAAGTTTATAAAGGAAAAATGCAAAAAAAAAAAAAAAAACGAAAAAGTTTTATAGTTTTGGTTTTTGTTTTCTTCATGTTTTCATTCATTTTTCGCTCATGTGCTGTATGTTACCTATCTCTTTGTGAGTTTGAATAATAATAAACTTTAATTTTCGCCAAGCGTTGGTGGTAGCTAATTTATTTGACATCTGAAGGTCAGAATGGTAAGCTAAATTTCCTTTTCAAATTGAGGATTGTTCAAGCTTTCTGTCTTATCCGTAATGCAATAAAACGAGTAAATATTTATACTATTTTTCATGATTTGTTCCGATCCTTTCGATGTCTTCAAATAAAGCATTTTTCTATCTATGAGTCGCACCTATATATTTGTACGGTCGGCTCAGGCGAAACTGCATTGAAAAGCGCCCGTACTTTTAGTATGATCGCAATATATGCGCAAGCGAGAGCAAGTATGAATATTCTCGTCAAAGAATGGAACTAGAACTCCCATGGTAAATTTCTGTAGTTAAGGATCATACTTAAGAAAAAAAGATAAATGGTATGAGTAGCAACGTTGTATAACCCGCACCGGTGGAAAGTAAGAAAAAAAAAAAGAACGCAACTTATGCACGAAAAAATACTGTATATGCATGCATAAAATTGAGAAAGAGGGAGAGAGAGAGAATAGTTTTTTTTTTTATTTACAATCACGAATAGGTCAACCTGATAAAAAGCTGATTTGCTACTTCGGAAAAATTAAGAATTGAATCGCCATTCATTTACTCAGTGACGGGAACCCTGGTTCACTGCACATATCTTTATTTCGGCCCTGCAATTTCTTTGTCTCCCTGATTCAGATTCAGCGTAGAAAACAAGGGTAGCATCCACCCAATGGCCTTTCAGCCCTTTGGCAACGGACCCCGAAACTGCGTGGGAATGCGCTTCGCCCAACTCGAGATGAAACTGACACTTGCAAAGATGCTGGCCAAGTACAAGTTTCTGCTGGACGATAGACACGTTGAGGTTTGTGCAATCGATCTTTGTTGCGTCCTTCAAAGAGCTTCCTGAAAACAGTAGAAAGTGGGCGGAAGAAACTTTTCGAAGATTTAACGTTACAGTATTGTTCATGTTGGGTGACTTTTCAGTCGCATGTGAAATCATGCTTCAAAGCCCACATTCAAACTCCCGGTGTAAGATTAGGTTTTCGAAAATACAAGACGTTGAAACTCCTTATCATAATTTTGTTAAATCCCCTGAAACTAGGTGGGGAACGAGAAGAACTGAAAAGCGGAAGTGAAAGGAACAGAATTGTTACAAGAACGAATGAGGCGTATGGAAGATACTGGAGCTATCCTGGTGCTTATAGGCATTGTTTCCGGTTACGCAAGCCTTGATCTGAAATCGAAACAAAAAAACAAAACAAAACGGATTTCCGTTTTTTGGAAATTAAAAAAAAAGCGATAGACAAATTAAGGAATAAATAAATAAATCAAAACAATGTCGTCTGGGTGTCCTTTCACCGTATATAGAGGTCAGAAAGCCGACTTTTTGAAGAGTAACGATCGGAAAAACGCACCCGCTCAGCGCTAAACACTAAAATAACACTAGCCACACACAAAAAAATATAATACAATAAGGTGTCAGATATTGATACTTTAGTGAATATAATGCACTCCATGTTTAACTGGAAATTGTTCAAAATGAAAGCTTGGGCATGTTGGTAATGCATGGTGATTAAAACGTTCAGCGCAAACAGACGGGACAAAAGAGTGAGGACAGACAAGCGCTTGTGTGTCCTCTCTTTCCTGTCCCGTTTGCTTACGTTGTAGGTTTTAAGTAACTAAATGAAAGAGAAGATGCATATTCGTTCTAGAAAGGTTGATGACAACTCTGAAAATGTGTTTCATGGCTGCTGCGAGTACTCTAAATAGAACCGAATAATCATAGGAGCTTTCGTGCTTTTCATCGCAAACGCTCTTGCAAACACGAGATTGTAGGGAAAAAAAAAGTCAAAATAATGATAGAAAGGCTTTCCAGCAGGCCATGGACGCCTTCCAATGACAATTCACCTGGCTCCAGTAGTCCTCACTGGGATCACGCTAGCTAAATAATTGTTTTGAACGGTAACCTGTATAGTTACAAAAAAGTAACTCTTAGCAACGCTGCCTTCTACTATTCTGTTCCTTTCTCTTCCATTTTGAATTCTTCTCGTCCTCCACCCAGCCTCAGGTGGTTTAAGAAAATAACAATAGGAAGTTTTAACAAGTTGTGTTATTTTAGACACCAAAACGCTCACCATATTCTTGAAAGAATGACATGCTTTTTTAATGGAACCACCAATCTCAAAGGTTTGTCCGTCCGTCCCTCCATTCGTTCGTGCATTTCCCGCTAAAATTAGAGGGGGAATTGATGTGACGCGACCTATGCATAAAGTTTCTCCGCTAAAGTTAGCGGGGAAATTGATAAACGTAACTTTACAGAACGAAATTACTGTATGCCTTCTAAACAAAATCGAACGACCGCTCCTTAAACACTCCATTTTATGAATCACAGGACTTCAAGACAAAGGACGCAGCCAATTTATATAAAGATCAAATAATTTTGCTTCACAAACTTTTTCAGGAGGATCATCTTAAGCTGGGCTCTTCCTTTGTCTTCTGCTATCCCTCCGAAGGCGCTTGGCTGAAGGTGAAGAAGCTCTGAAGCTCTGCTCCGTCCAGAAGCTGAAGCTCCTGATGCGCTAAGCGCGTGCGCAGAAGTTCGTTTTCTTCAAGGGCGAAGCATCGGCACAAGCTCCGTTTCGACAGTCTGCGACACCGCCCTAATGTAACGTAGGAAACATGGATTGACCTGTGTGTGTGCCTCAATTGCTTTTCATTCTGGTTTCATACGCCGAGTCAGGGCGAGAAAAGGAAGGCATAGTCCCCTGACAATTAGAAAAACGCGGGACGTGTTCTAATGCGGGGCGCAAGTTCGTCTGCTTCTTGCGCAGGGATTACGGTGACGTCAGAACGCCGAGTTCTGGTTGCAGACGAGTTCGCGCTCCGTATATGGTCATTCCGCTGTCTCATTGGCTAAGGAGAAATATTGTCACGAATGACAATTGATGAGGCGATGGTAGCTGAAGGAACTAAATGTTTCATAGGGCAAACTTATGCCCAAAACAAGAATGAAAAAAACAAAAAAACAGAAGATAACAGTAGAGCGTCGCGGGCGTCGATGACGGCGTAACAGCAGGATCATACGCAGGGGCAAGGCTGCCCTAGAGTCGCTAAATAAAGCTACGCTTTCAGAGTACAGGGCCGCCCACACTAGCGAGAAAACGCGCGTGGCACGCCGATCGCGGCAAGTAACAAAATGGCGCCGAAGCACAGTCAGCGCCACGAGCGCGTGCAGAGACACGCCCTTTATCTTCCCGCTTAACCGATTTATCGGCGCGCCGGGCGCGTTTTCTCGCTAGTGTGGGCGGCCCTTAACGCATTCCTTTTTTTGGGAATTTTGCCGACAATACAGTTCAACAATATTCTGGTTCGCTGCGGCATCACTGGACAGCGGCAGTCACGTGAGTCGCTATCATCATCATCGCGTTTTTTCAACGCCACCATCTTGGGTCCAGCTATCCTCTACTTGCTGCGCGTCGCTCAGCACGCGCGTTTTCCGTGTTACGTCGAGATACGAACAATACGACTTTGATTCGCTGCCACAGCTGGTGCCGCGGCAGCTGGCGCAGGAGACGGCTATGGCTCGGCTTGGCTCAGCCACAGTCGCTCCTCCATCTGCGCGCGGACCCAAGATGGTGGCGCCTAACTCGCTTCAGACGCGAAGTTTGGTAGTTTCGGTACTCTGAAAGCGTAGCTTTATTTAGTGACTCTAGACTGCCCCTGCAGTCTTGCCCCTGCAGCCCCTGCGGCCCCGAAAGTTCTCAGCGCCGAATCTTGCCCCTGCGGGGCAAGATTCGGCGCTGATTCAAGAATCATGCTGCTTGTCTGAGAACTTTCGGACCTCAAACAAGCAACATGATTCTTGAATTTGCCAGAGCACGAAATTGCAATAATAAATAAAAGACATGTCGTTCTCAGGAATCGAACCCTGACTCTTCGCGTGGAGGCAAGCACGATAACCGTTAGGCCAAGGCCGTGCTGCCTACTTGACCAGCTGCGCGCGCGGCAATATAAGGTGTGTGGGACTCGCAAAGCCCGCAGTTTCTTAAGCTCTCAAAGACTAATAGCCCTATTCATTAGCTGCGTTCGACTTACTTGCACCTCCTGCCTTGGTGCAGAAAAGTGTAGGGCATGCTACTTCCGGTATGTCTATTTAGATATACGACCGGAAGTACACCGCCCTACACTTTTCTGCACCAGTTCAGAAGGTGAAAGCAAATCGTACGCGGCTATTGTTTCGGACGCTTGCTCAATGATGGCGGCGCATCGCTGGGGCAGAGGGAGACCGGGAGAGAAGGACAAAAGACCGACAAATCATGGCTTTGCATAATTACGCGTGACATCGATTGGCTGGCGCCCATGCTCGACCATGGCGGCGAGCAGCCGAGGGTATTTAGAGTGGAACTGCACTGTAGCTTTCTGTACACAGGTGGCTTGATGGCGAAGGAAGGAAGCGTAACGTTTGGGCATGAGCAGGTCGAGCGTTGTTCCGGTTTGCAGAGCGCTCGGCATGTAGTCTATAGACCTTTTCCACAAGGGCGCCGCCATCTTGAATTGTCGTCACTTCCAGTATGGGCGAAAACATTACTTTGCCGTCGCCACGCCAATAGAACACGTTTAGGATATGAGCCTAACCGTCAAACATTCTCGTTTTGGCTCCGCTCTATTTTTTTACTGGTTACAGGTTGAAACGTTTTACTATTTTGTCGTCGCCCATACTGGAAGTGACGACAATTCAAGATGGCGGCGCCCCTGTGGAAAAGGTCTATACTTAATTTCACCTCAAGCTGTACCGCAGCGAGAAATAGGTGCCAGAACATATATTTTCGGCAGTCTCTAAGTATGAAAGGGGCCATGAAACAATTATTTTACTGCGGAGCTGTTAAGGCCTAGGTTCCCCAGGATCGTGTCCGGTATGTCGACACAAACCTACCTGGACAGCTACCGCCACCTATAAGCGACGGCGGCAAGCACACAACCAGTATGGTTTCTGCCGTCGATCGTAGATGGCGCCAACCTTTCCAGGATCCAGCTACAATAGAAGAATGGATAGTTGGGCGCGTTGGTGGGAATTCATAGTAGGAAGCAGCGTGAGAAACAAACGACGACGAAGAAGAAGCACACAGTGTATTGACTGTACAGCTCCGCTGGTCTTCCTTCTTCACGAGAGTGGAAAGGCTGAACGTTCTTTTTTAAATTTTTAGTAAATGCCGCTCAGGGTTATCGCTTTACGATCATAAGCTACAGACTATGTACCGTATTTTTCAGGATATAGTTCGTCCGAAGGGGCAAATTGTGGTCAAAAATAAAAGTTGTTGCTCAGATTGTCCGCACCCGGTGCATAGTCCGCACGCCGTACATAGTCCTCACCTGGTGCTTAGTCGACACGAAAATATTCTTATACACGGCACACCTTGACAAATGACGGCTTTCTTAGCTCACAGAGAAGCGTGTATTAAACATTAATCATCAATAACACGCTCTTTCGTTCACAAAATCCGTCAAGTCCAGTCGTAGTGAACGATATAAAAAACAAAATTCCTGTATAGTCAGCGCGTGTAGGTAGTCCACAGAGCCTAAAATTTCAACTTTTAAGCATGTAGAGTCGGCGGACGATAGCCTGGAAAACACTGTACAACATTTCGTTTCACTCTACGATGGACTAAAGGCAAAAGCTGTGCTGTATTTCGCTTAGATACACGTTTCGGTGCCCGCGTCTCGGATCTCTGATGAGGGCACGGGTGGACAGTGGTCCGAATCTAAGAGCCCTGAGTGGCTCAATAATTTTTCATCGTAAAGAAAGCCACGACACATGGGCTCTTTGCAGCGTCGAAGGTATAGAAATGATGCGGCGCTTTTGGATTTCGAGCATTATTCGTCCACCCCTAATCAATGTTTAGCGTGTCATAGTGTGGAACGTGATTAGACCTGGCGGCCTGTGGCTTTGGCCTTTAGTCCATCGTAGGATGAGACAGAGTATGTTGTTTTTCTTTTCGCAATATTAGTCACAGAAAAGTTGAAAAAATAAGCAGCGTTCTCCTTTTCAACTCAAGCGGCCACGTGATCCGGTGCCAATTTTGCATATTAGTCGAACATTTATTATATTCACGCGCTGAGGTTGACAATACACATGGCGCGGGCTGATGGATAGATACTAAGGCCGGCCCTACGGGCAGGCGACCTGCGGGGTCGCCCAAGACGCCATCAAAAAGAAAGCACCGCCGCGCCCCTCTCTTGAATTTGTTTTAGCTTTTAAGTTTATTTCAACACGACCCCCGACACTTCGCTATATGCTCAGTCGCCGTTCGTTTTTAGAACACGGTTTTTGTCTGATAGAACGCTTGTTTTGGGCCACTACTCGCATGTTTCCTAAGAACGTGATGTCGTACTTATAGATAAGGGCGTCTAAGAAGGGCGCTTGAAGGTGTATAGGCCGACCCTGGTAGACATTCTTAACATTTTTGCGTTACCGTCATTGCAGTGAGTGGGCTCTCACACCGCCAAAATATTTGCCGAGGCATTGATTGTTCCAAGCTCAAGCTGAAGGAAAAATTTAATGGCAAGTCCCTGAGAAATAGCTTGTCAACTAGTTGAACTTGTAGTAGGAGGCTCACCGAAGGTCAGTTCGTTGAAAAGGTAATCATTGTTTGTTTGAGGGTGCTATTTCTCTTTGGTGAATAATTGTACGAGGGGTGTTTGATACGTCTTGCCTCCAAGGTTGTTACGTTTTTAATCAATGATAGGTTTGATAAGTTACTTTCAAATGAAAGTTTGGAACCTCTTCTTTCGCAGGTGCATATCACTGTTCAAGGTAGCCTTTACCAGCGGGTATGCATTTCCGCCACCGGTGTTTCATTCTCTGGATGCCGTCGTAGAAGAATGAGAACTGGATGTCGACGAGACCAAGGCCGCGCTGGAGGAGCTGCAGTTCCAAGATGTTTGGCCTCACACACCTTACAGCTCGGACCTCGCGCCATCAAACTTCCGGTTGTCTCAAAAAAAAAAAAAAAAAAAAAAAAGGAACAACTGAAGGGTACGTGGTTCACGTCCGAAGAAGTCCCCGATGCAGTGCGTCGCTGGTGTCGTCAACAGCCGCCCTCAATCTTCTACGACGGCATGCAGAGATTTTGGTGCACCGGCGGCGGAGGTGCATCGCCTCTTGTAGAGAATATATTGACAAGAGATATGCTCCAGGAAAGAGAAGACTCCAAACATTCATTCGAAAGTAACATCTTCCAGTTCTATCACTGAATAAAAATGTTACAGTCCAGGAGGCAGCAACTATTGAACAGCGCTCGAATGTGTGTGAGAAAGTCTTGGCCTTTTATAAAGCATTGCTTTCTAACGCTGCCCCCCCCCATCGCAGAATTTTGATAGTGCGTTCGTCCGTCCGTCCATCCATGCATTTCTCGCTAAATTTAGCGGGGAAATTGATGTCACGTGATCTGACGTCACAAGATATACAGGCCAATTCTGTTTCCCCACTTAAGTTTGAGGAAAAATTGACGTCATGTGACGTATACACCAATTGAGTTTCCACGCTATATTTGGCGAGAGAGTAGCGTCACGTGACGTCACGTTACCTACACACATTGGCGTGATTGATGGCACGTTACATATACGTCCGCTCAGTTTCCCCACACACTTCGACTCACACACTTACGACCTCTTAGGACCTCTTAGAACGCAACAGAGGACACACTGGCGCCATCTACTGGGTAGCAGTGTGAACTTGGCGGTCCGGCATATTCCCTATTTCTCTCACGCGTTATTCTTTCTTTCTTGACTGGAAAAATTTTGTAAACGTTATAAACGGGCCTTTCTTATAGGTATTACCCACATTTGACCTCGGAAATCCCGCAATATCCCTCTTGTGAAATACAGTTCCAGGGTCACCGCATAGATGGCGCCAGCATGCCAGTGCGTTCTCTCGTCCTAAGAAATTTTTAGAGGTTTTAACAGCTCTCGTCTCTCTCGGTCGTACTCGGTTGCAAGAGTGTGAAAGGGCCTTTAGAACCGAGCGCCTTAAAACCTTTTAAAAGCTGTTATGACGAGAGAGCACACTGACATGCTGGCGCCATCTATGTGGTTCCCTGGAACTGCATTTCAATAGAACGAAGGTTTGGCGGTATTTGCGAGGTCAAATATACGTACTGCTTATGAGGGATGTTCGTTCATATTTTTGTTTTTTTTCTTTCTCTAACTCAGCGGCGCGGCGACGGCAGTTCCCCCCCCCCCCCCCCCCCCCCCCTCGGGCACTGCCGGTGGCGCGCCGCTGAGATAGAGAAAGAAAAAAAAAAAAAAAAAAAAGGAAGAAAAAGAAACACGGTGAGCGCTCGCGCTCTTTGTTTCAAGGAGGGTGGCAGTGGCGGCAGTCAGCGATGCAATAACGAACGATAACGTGGCGGTGCGCGGACCTGCTGAGCACGACGGCGACGGTCTGCAGCCATGTGCGCAAGCAAAATCGCATCGTCATCCCGCGGCACAAAAAAAAAAAAAAAAAGAAGAGCGGTGGGCGGCCAGTCGGAGTGGTGGGCGGCAAAGCCACTGCCGCCCACCGTGGGGAGAACCCTGCCATATTTTTTTTTATACAAGTCCAGATATGCCATTTTTGTAAGAGTAGAGCCCCATGTATTCGAAAACTGCGTCGGCCGCCATTTTCTCATTGAGCTTTTCAAAAAATCAATTATAACCTTTGAATAAGCTGTCGGATCGGGATGACATTTTGGCCTCTGGTTGTGAGCTCTAGCGCTACCTTTGGGTGGAAAATGAGCGTTCGGCGATGCCTAGTTTATTTTTACGTTGAAAAAAAAAAAAAAAGACCTGTAAATATCTTTTGGGGCACCCTGTAGATTGCTTTGGCAGCATGGTACGTACACCATTCTTAGTATGTCCATTTTATTCCGACATGCCGGTACGCTAACACATGTCGAGTTAGAGCAGTTTTTGGGGGAGCAGCTCAATGCCGGTCGAATCGTTCTCTTCCGAGCCTCACGTCAGCATCGAGTTGCGATTTTCTATAGGTCCAGCGGTTCATAAAATCGGTTGTAAAATATCGTTCCAGAGGCGAATACCAAGCACGCGTTGCCAGTGCGGTTCCGCTGCCAGTGCGAACGGGTGTTTACGTGGATCTTGCTGACAACCTTTTAGTTCAAGAACATCTTCCCTGATGTCAAATCCCTCCCGCATTCACCAAAAACGCCTCAGCGATTTGTTTAGAAGTACGCTGCTTTGCAGAGGCCGTGCGGGCCGTCTCCTTTTAGCAACGATGGTCGTTATGTTGACTTCGTTGAGATCGAGTTCGTTGCAGTCGACCAAGGCGGCTATTCCCTCATCGCGGGAGGTGAGCATTCCGGCCCGTTTAAATACACATTTCGTAGAGTGGACTTTACATCGCATGCACGTGCACAATCCCCAAAACACTCCAAGCAAGCGTTACAGGAAAGACCACCCGATACTGAAACTAATGGTGGCCAACTTTGCTGTTACTCACCAGAAAACCTCCGTACTACGTTCAGTCCTAAGTAATCTCTATGAGTGAGCCTACCCCCCGTTATGGCGGTACTCTTACTAACACGCTGTCTTCACGTCATTCCATCGAATCTTCACAGAACTCTACAAGATGGTTTTTTTGTTATCGTTTTATTCAGTTTACAATATGTTTTCTTGCGTTATCCTACAAAATATTGGTATTGCTAAAGTCCATCCTTTACCCGCTTCATGTTTAAGCAAAGAGATGAGCTCTAGAATTTGGTTTCAGTATCCGTCTAAGACCCCTTCCTCCTGGATGGGATATGAAGAAGCGTCTCAACGACGTCCACTCATCTAACAAAGGTAACGCAGTTCAGCTTTTTGTGGCTACGCCGCATCCCCAAAGTTCCATCTTACAACCGTCCAGATATCGATGTTTCGGTTTCCGGCTAATACAGAGCGGACTTTTGGACGCCTGGAGCCCTAACCTCGTGAAACACAAATTTGGAGCCAAAAGTTGGCGGAGTGCTCCGATTGCACGTCGGCGAAAAAAGCGCGAAGTCGTCGTCATGATGAGTCAATCAGTGCGATCCCTCAATTTGGGCCCCAACTTTGTGTTTGACGAGTTCAGAGGCCCTGGTGGATATGCCATCAAAGTCAGGTCATATGCACTGCAGCTCTAACCACGAAAGTGGCGACAAAAAGCGTACGTCCAGATTAATTTATTTATGTACAGTTCTTTCGAAGAGTCATTCGAAATTCATATCTTCTCCACTTTCAACCAAGCTCCGTCAAGGGGATAGGAAAAAACGAAGCTAGAGCCCAGCTTGAGTTGATCTTCCTGAAATGGTTAAAAAAAATCACTTGATTCCAAAATCATTCGTACGCGCTTATTTAATGTGACCTTGCATAGTAAAAGGAGGAGTTATTTGACTATTTTGGAAGAAAGAGGAATATCAGTAACAACCAACGTAACCAATATATTTTCCTACTTTTTATTTTCAGTTCAAATTTTTTTTGCCCGTCTTGGTTTTAACTCTATTGTAACAGCAGTATAGTCACAACTAAGGAACGCTTTTAAACGCCCAGAGGAGCATCGTTTTACTCCGTTTTACTTGCGCAGCTGACGCAACGATTCGATAAAGCCAATTAAATAGTGCCAATATTGCACCTTCACGGCGATGGTCCTCTTCCGAGTGTTTGCTATGCGGAGCGCAAGTTCGTCTGCTCATTTTGCAGGGGTCGGGGTGACTCCAGAAAGCCGAGTTCTAATTGGCTGCGATTGGAAGGACAGTTGGTAGACTTCAGAGCAAGCTGCCTTGAAGTCTACCCACTATTCTTTAATCAGAGCCAATCGGAACTCGGCGTTTTGTTGTCATGGCAACCTATTCGCGCAAGAAGCAGACGGACTTCCGCTCCCCATGAACACTGACAGCTATGACGCGCAGGGCGTGCTGGCTCATTATGTTCCCGCTTCTTGCTTCCTGATTGATTCTTGGGTGTTCTTACCGGCTGATGCTTGAATTTTATTGGCTGCGGTGCGATAATAAGATGCTAATGAGGTGCTACTTGCTCGCCATATTCCGCGTTTTTCCTTTTTTATCTTGTCGGTCATTCTACGCCAACGCGTTGTTTACAAACAAGCCGGCGTTTGCCCACACCAGGTGTGGACATTACGCTTGCGCAGAAACCATACTCTAGTGGGGAAAAGTGTCTGCGCATGTGCCGTGCAGACAGCAGTGCTACCGCAGCAGCATGAGGTCATAGTAGCGCGTTGGACGGAAGCGCAATAGCGCAACCCTTACAGAAATGCCATGTCTGGACTTATATTAAAAAAATACAGATATGGATATATAAGGAATTGGGCAGATATGACTAGATATGCACAATTAGACCATATCTGGATGGACATAGCCATATATGCCCAATTCCTTATATACCCATATGTGTCCTTACATCTTCGAGGAGTGTAATGAATAAAGCAACGTTTGCAGATTGCACGAACCTTGATGTGTCTTTCGTCGAGCAGAAATTTGTACTTTGCCAGCATCTTGGCCAGAGTCAGTTTCATCTCGAGTTTGGCGAAGCGCATTCCCACACAGTTTCGGGGTCCGTTGCCAAAGGCTTGAAAGGCCATTGTTTTGATGTTTCCCTTATTTTCAACGCTGAATCTAAATCGAGTAAAAAAAATAGAAAAAATAGCAGGAAAAAAAAAGTGTATATTTCAAGCTAGCACAGTTATTTTGGTCCAATATTCATTTATGGGGGACTATTTGGAGTTTAAAAAGCCCAAATGGCAACAAGGTTGAGCCAAACTCAACCTTCTTTGTCCAGAGTCTGGGTCTCTTGGTCCTAAGTCCCCCAAAAAGTGCCAACACTAGATTTTACTGCTTGTAGTTTGGCTCTCATTTGGCATTTATGGGCCTACAACGCCATACAAGTGTCAGGGTTGGCTTCACTTCCGGTTGTTCTGTTTTAGTGTGGCAACGTTAGACCTAAAGTGGTATAAATCAACTAGATTTGGGCTTCACTTTTTGTTCTGCTGTTCATGCGTGTCATCTTTGGCATAAGTCTGACGCTTCGACAATGATATGGAGAGCCCGTGAAAAGCCACAAGAACGCAAGGCAAAACCACTTTGCCCCTAAGTAACGCCTTGGAGCGAAACCGTATTAACTCCAAGCAACTTTACTAAAACACTAAGTTGGGAAACTCAGCCTTGAAACCCGTACCGCTCCCGTCCACCGCGACCAAACTAAAACGATAACAGCGCCACCTAGGGTGACCACCTTCCTGCTAGTGAAATGCGGGACACGCGATGCAGAGGGGGGAGGGGGGATTTATTAAGACGCACACAACGAACCAAGGCTCTGTTAACACATGTATTATCCCGTACTGTGTATACACCTGCTAATTTTATTGCAGCAATTAAGTTCAAATAATTTTCACGACCAGTGATATATTATTTTGAATGCCAAGGATGGTATGACATGCGCCGAAGTTGAAAACATAAAAATCGACTGTACCAGAACTCAATGCATCAAATGGAAATAAGAAACAGTAAATATTTTTTCCGGTTATTGTTTCCCGTCCACGCGTACTTCTGTCAACATGGTCCTACACAAATTTTTATCATTATGTTCTTTTTTGACCGTTGCATGTGTGGCTGCCTTCACTAAAAAAAAAAAAAAAAAAAAGAGAAATCCACAGCAAACTTTTCGCATTGGCATGGTGCTGCAGAACTTTTTAACATTGTGTTCTTTTTCGACCGTTGCATGTGTGGCTGCCTTCACTAAAAAAAAGATAAATCCACAGCACACCTTTCGCATTGGCACGATAATTGGAAAATAATTACAATATTTTATATTTAAACTTTTGGCGAGAACGTTTTCGTACAATATTTTCCCACCAAAGGGAGAGGCACAACGGCGCATGCGCGTCGGTCCTCTTGCAAGAACGACGGTCGCTTCCCGCAATGCTTGGATAGATCATAGAGCATGGCGTACCATTTCGATTCACACAATTACTAGCGACCTCCGTATTTCCCCGTGCCCAATTTTTCGGCAGCACCGTGAGTTGCGGAGTGAATTTTACGGCAGTGTGAAATGCGGGACATTTTGTAGATTTGGGACTTTCTCGGGGCGGGACACGAGCCCTCAATGCGGGACAGTTCCGCGAGTCGCGGGACGAGTGGTCAACGTAGCGCCACCCTTTAGCGACCAGTCAAAACACGAAAGTTTATTTATATTGCTACTTCGAAACGGCATTGCGAGATGGCGCCACCGACCCATGCGCGACTCGACCTTCACCGATACGCGCAAATCCCGCAGTGTGTCCGCTGCGGGAGAAATGGTGGCATTGCGATCGTCATTAGTTCGGTTCTGGAATGCGAATCGAAATCACTTTTTCAACATCACGATCATCTGGTGGGCTAGTTGGTTGATCATATTGTTGAATTAACAGCGCAAATACGACAGGAAGGAGAGATAAGGGAGACAGGATAGAGCGCTGAACTAACAACTGACGTTTAATAAAAAGAGAAAAGGACTTTTTCAAAAAAAAGTGGAAGCCGTTTACAAATCCCTGTAACGCCGAATTGGAGCGCAGCTCTTGAGGAGGAGGAGTGAAGGGTACTGAGGGGAGGGTAGACCCCTCCCCCTTCTCCTCCTCCTCCCCTCATTCTTTAATATGCTCCGGGGGGGGTGTCACGCGACTTCGGGGAGGGGGTCACGTGACCTCGGGGAGGCGTGACCTGGGGGTGACCTCAAGGCCACGTGACCCCAAAGGTGACCCCCACGTGACCTTGGGGGTCACGTGACCTGGAGGGGTCACGTGACCTCAGAGGGGTCACGTAACCTCAGAGGGGTCACGTGACCTGGGGGTCACGTGACCTTGACCTTGGAAGGGGTCACGTGACCTTGGGGGTCACGTGACCTCGGGGGTCACGTGACCTTGGGGAGGCGACCACGTGACCTCGGGGGTCACGTGACCTCAGAGGGGTCACGTGACCTTCAAAGGGTCACGTGGGGTCATGTTGGGGTCACGTGACCTTGAGATGACCTTAGAAGGGGTCACGTGACCTCGAGGGGTCACGTGACCTTCAGGGGGTCACGTGGGGTCACGTGACCTTGAGATGACCTTGGGAGGGGTCACGTGACCTTGGGGGGTCACGTGACCTTGGGATGACCTTGGTTACGCCGACGCCGACGGTGACGGCGACGGCGACGCCGACGGCGACGGCGACGGCGACGCCGACGGCGACGCCGCTCAAGCCGGGAACGGGCCCCTAAGAGCTGCGCTCTAAAAAAAAAAGAGAAAGAGGAAAGAGAAAGAGAACTTTTTGAAAGCAGGCTCAATGGCAGTTTCCCAACTCAGTTGTTCTCGTAACGTTGGCTCCAAGCTCCAAGTTAGGCCCCTAGGATTACCCGAGCCTGTGCCACGTTAGGTGTCTCTCTGCCGTGCTACGCAGGTTGTTTAAGAACCCGCAAATCACATTTATAGTCGCCGACACGACGGATACAACAGGGCGTCTTTTCCCGATGACCAGTCTCCAGCGCCGGCTTGTTGCCTTCAGCGTGCTTTGATATCGCGTGTAAGTTCGAGGGTGTACTGGACGTCGATGCGTCATTGGGAATAGGAAGCTCTCGACAGTGTAGGGACAACTGAAAGGCCCCCCTGCCGTTCTCATCGTGTCAGTGATATATTAAAGTGAAACAATAACGAGAAGAAGATGAAGGTGAAAAAGAAATATAAACAAAAAGAAAGCCTCCAACAAAAAAAAAAAAAAAAATAAGACAATACAAAATAAGCTTTCAGTTGAAAACAACATTCGTTCCCAGCCAACGTTTCTGAGGTGATATATGTCACTTTTCGTGTCGTTCCGGAAGTGAAAAGTGCTCGCACCTAGCTTTGAGTGGCTCCCGAGGAGCTCGAAAGGACGGATGCTCATTGCTTCGCCTTCATTGCCGCCAAAATAAATATCCCACAAGTAGAGATTTAATTGGTAAATATTTATTACTCTTAAGATCCACGAAGAGAGGAAGGAAATAATTGAAACGTTAAAGGAAAATAATAAGACTTAAAATAGATAATCATTTAATGTTATTTGAGTCAGTCAAACACTCTGGTTTTCTCTATGATTTCGCCAATTTCCTGTCAAGTATTTATAAACGTCGAAGGTTTCTAACTGTCGCGAAACTCTAGAAAAAAATAAAACCGATCTTTTTCCATCTTTGTACGCCGCTCGGAGGGTGATTTAAATCAGGCATGACATCAGACTGAGTCTGTGTGCGATCACAACTTTTCACACTTGCCTGAAAGCCTAATAGCGGTAGTGTTTATGTAAAATGTGAAGGGTGCAACTGCGCGCGAGCCTCACTTGACAACTGGTATTCGCGCTTGCGATATCGATTAGCATGTCTTCAAATAAGTAAGTCGGAACTTTATGCGCTTACCTCTCCGGATCGAACTTCTCGGGCTCGCTCCACAAGTTTGGATCCCGTTGAATTTGGAACGGGGGAATCAGTATATTCATTCCAGCGGGAATCTTAAGCCCATTGTATTCGTATTCCTGATGAGAGGTCCTCGTGATGAATCTAACACACAAAAGGAAGCAGACATGTGTGAATCGTCGAGAACTTTGTTGCCAAAATAAAGCGCCTAAACCTTGTTTATGGTATTTATAGAGAACAAGAATGATGCAGCAGCACGTCTGCCGAAGGATTCTCCACTTGTGTGGAGAATCCTTCGGCGAAAAACCCCACACTCTCCACACTACTATTGCCGTCAAATATATAAGTGAATTGCAGGTTTTTTGTGAATAAAAGTTTTTAAGATTAATTTTATATTGGTCATGTGGTATGACACGATCACTCGTTTTGCTGCAAAAAATAACTTATATCACCAATATCACCAATTTAACAAACAAGCTCCATATGTGACAACTTCCTTTAACGTTAATTAAAAAAAATTATATTTTCCCTTTTCGCCGAAATGCTAAATGTCTGTTGCAAAAAAAAAAAACATTTAATTTTCACACCTTTTTGTTTTATCTAATATATATTTAACCTCCCATCGTTTGATTATTTTTGTCTTATTTCGCACAGAGGCGTTGGCAGTACAAAATCTACAGATGTTTAAAATCCTGTTTTTGCCCACTTCTAATGGTGAGACTAATATGAATTCTAACTTAATATAATGCACTTTCTTGTCACCGTACTAAACCACTTTTTTGTTCCTGAATCAGAGGGGCAGTCTATAAAATTAGAAAGAATACCCTTCTAGTAAAAAAATAGAGTAAAACGAATAAAATACACCAGATACATACTATACCATATCCATACACTTTCAGTGTCCCTATATCTCCATTTACAACGTTAATTCTTGGCCCCAGTCCTGAGAAATAGCAAAATCAACCAAAGCAATAAAAAACCCGAAAAAAACTCCGCAATTAGCGGGAAAAGTCAAATAACAAAATCGAAGTCACTATAAATGGGGATCCGTAAGTAACTGGAATGAATTTCTGCAAAGCGTGCGATTCGTAGTACCAACTTCCGCCACTAGTAGCTCTTAGTGGCAGCTTTTCCGAGGCAGTTTGCCGTCCGGCGTCGTCTGCTAAAACTTTAGTGGCATGGTGTGAATTTTTTTACCAAGCGGTTCAAAATCATTTCTCGTTTTTTGCAATGCCTGATTTGAAGGACCATCCACATCCGCAAAAAAGGTTCTCTTCCAGGATCTCTTCTCATACGAGGGAACAGAAAAAAAGAAATCACTAGGGGCGAGGTCCGCTGAATTGGGGGGAGGGGGGGGGGGTGCTTTCATGCCATTTTTGTTCAAAAAGTGTTGCACTGACAGGGCAGTGCGTGCTGGGGCATCACCGTGATGAAGCCACCACTCCCACCTTTCCCACAAATCGGGGCGTTTCTGCCTCACATTGTCGCAAAACTCCCAGGTAAAACACCCAATTAACAGTTTCACAAAGAGGAACAAAGTCGAAGTGAGGAATGTCAGAATTTTCTTGATATTTGCATTGTTGAGAAGTTTGAGAGTGGCTCTGAGCGAGGTTGGTCGCCGATTACTAATTCACCCGCCCTCAAACGAGAAAACCACTTGTAGACGTGCGTTTTCTTCATATATTTCATATTCTTTGTAAGCTGTTTGAAGCAATAAAAAAATTTCCGCCGTCGTTCTCCTTAAAAGAGAACAAAATTTCACGGCCGCACGCTGTTCCTGCAAATCAGATATTGCAAAAAACGAGAAATGATTTTGAAGCTCCTAGTGAAATATGACAACATGCCGCTAGAACTTTAACAGATGACGCCAGTCGGCAAACTGACTTGGAAGGGTTGCCGCTGAGCGCCGCTAGCGGCGTAAGCCCGTACTATAAACAGGCCGCCCTCCAAAAATTCATTCCGATTACTTTTCGGGTTCCCCTCGGTCAAGCACTAAGCTCTTACAAGATAGCTTTGAGGCCGCACGTTTCAGGTAAACAAGTTTACTTTACCCGGTGAGTGGTGGATAGAACCTAAAGGATTCGGTGATTACTTGGTCTAAATAACGCATGCTGAATACGTTGTCGTAGTTGAACCTTCCCTGGAACATCAATTTACGTCCAAAATTACACGGTTCGCAATGTTGCAGTTTACGGTATACTAAGGTGACAGACTCTTACAATCCCTGACATTTGCAGCATGAGTACACTCTTTTGTAAGAGCTCTGTAAACAGCGCCATCCTTAAAATGCTGATGTATAAAAATCTAAGTAACATCAATCGTTTTTTAGAGGGCCTACAATATTAGTTTGTTTTGTTATGAGCAATGTAAAACTATATTTATTTCGAAATTTAAAAATTCCCAGATGATTGCTTCTTGTTATACCTCTTCAGAGTTTGGGGAAATTGAACTTTTGTTGGTGATTTGTGACGAAACAATAATCTTTATTCTTTGTACATAATTGATTCAGAGTGCGCTATAATTTAAAAATTGCAAACCCGCTCTCAAGTTGAGAAAGTTAGCAGTTTTCAAAGGTTCTCAAGAGATCTGACAATTTTCCTCAAGAATGAGAAAATGGCTAGAACCCTTTTTAGTTCTCATAGTCTACAGAAATTGAACATATGCGAACAGCAAGTCGTCTGCTTCTTACGCAGGAGTTGTGACGTCAGAACGATGCCGAGCTCTGATTGGTTCTAATTGAAGGATAGTGAGGAGACCTCAAAGCAAGCTGCCTTGAGGTCTACCCCCTATTTTTTATTGAGAACCAATGAGAGCTCGGCGTTGTGACGTCAACACAACCCCTGCAAAAGAAGCAGACAAACTTGCGCTCCGCATTGCGTCAGCCGTCTGTAGTGTATCTGTCAACTCAATGAACAAGCAAAACAATTATACACTTTTTATCAAAATCATGTCGAATTTGATAAAGATGTGTCATTTTATGCTTCATCATCATCATCATTATAATGCCTTTATTTGTGCCAATTAACAGCCAACAAAGGTCTACAATGTTCAGAAAGCTACTTCGAGTAAGTAGCCTTCTGAGGCTACTTACTCGAAAGTTGACACGTATTCATCAGCATTACGTTGAGAGAATCTGAACATCCACGTTAAAAAAGGTAATACAGTAGAGGAAATTGAAGTCGAATTATTGTATGCAGCGCGTTACACTGCCGTTTTTTAAGTATCAAATTTGGGAGGCTTTATTTTTGTAAATTTAGTGACTAATTGTTTTTCTTTTCTGCAAAGTTAGAGAGTACATAGTAATCTGGTTTAAAGTAATCATAAAAAAGTAATAATAATTACGTCTCTCTCCAATACGTCACTTATTTCGCTTCTCAGTCTGTCTTGGACGTCTTGGAACTTTGCCAGCAGGTAAGTCGTGAACGTCAAAGCCGTGCTCGTCGTCTCAAAACTGAGTCAGGGAAAGGGACACAAGTCAAAGACCTTCCGTAACGTTCGAAATGTGGACATAGTACAAAGTTTGATATTATGGTGAGTAGAAACGTAGCATCTAGATAAACCAAAATATCGCTGGCTTTATGCAGACACCCATCAGCGCACCACAAACATGATCCTGAGTTGTATAGTGGGCTACAAAAACACCTTTGAAGCTTGAGTTTAAAGTTTTGTTGTAACCCACTATACAGCTCATGCGGTTCTACAGAGCCCAGTGCAAAACGCAGCTGGGCCGAAACCAGATCGACGTTTCATTCTCTATAAATCATTGTACTAAACCAGAGTTTACTAAAGAAATTGGTGTCAAAATGACTTGTGTGTTTCATTATTCTGGGTTTGAAAGATGTGAAACTAGTTGTTCTAATATACGTGTGCTCAATCATTCGTAGCCTTCGCAGTGGAAGGAAAAACCACCATGTTCAGAGACACTCTGATGTATTGTTAGTTCAAAGGGAATCTGAAATACTTTCCAGCAGAAACAAGGTCGGAGCGGCCTTCTCTTGATTCTTTGTTGTTGCTTGAATTTGAATATTGGATCACAACTGGCCGTAAACAAACGTAACCGATTTTAAGTTCATAACTATTCAGAGGGGTCGTGACGTCATATCACATTCGTCGAGTCAACTACTACAGCTCCGTTACAAGAGAAGAAAAAGTAAACTTCAGAGTTTTTTCTCGTACAAAATGTAATAAAATCGTTTTTTTCTGTAATAATGGCGGTAAACGTCAACCTCGATACAGGAAAGAAAACTCTGCGAACAATTTGCAAAGCCTAGATGCTGGTTGAATGGTAGGCGACGAGGACAGGCTTATCTGACTGTGACCAAGAGCAGTTGTATAGCTGTTATGCAGGCCACTAGACCAGCTGATAGGCCCGCAATTAGTTCTTTGCGATCTCTAGTTTCGTGAGCAACAAAACTGTGAGAGGTTGAAAGATAGCAGACATTTTATTACATTCGCGCTTAACGCACTACGATTTCAAACGCGTCGACGTCTAATATACTTACGATGAAATCATAAAAGTTCACAAAGTGTCATTCATGATTTAAATGGAGGTTGAAAGCGGAGCGCAGAGGCCACGAGCAGAGGCCACCGGGTTTACTAATGTGCCGATTTCCCACACGGAGAAAAGAATCAACATGGTGCGCGCTTAAATTTTTCGCGTTAGCGCCACACTCAGTTCAGTCATCAAAAGGACGTTAATTCGCCGGGAAGGCGCCATGTGAAGAAGGCACATGCTCGTTAAGAAGGCTCAGGACCGGTGTGAAGAAAGATAAAGGCTTAAAACTTCTTAAAATTTCTTATGGCGAAACGACATGCTGGCGGCGCATATCGGGGAGTCATGGAACACTTGTGGTTTCCGTTAATTGTTTAGTCCGTTTCTTGGCCCTACCGTTTATCTCAGCTGAGATGTACATTTGATCTCGCAATACCGCGAAACCTTCGTTCGAGTAAAATCCAGTTCCAGAATCACTTTATAGATGGCGCCAGCGTGACCGTGTTTTTTTGTCGTAAGAGGTCACAAGAACCCGGTTCTAAGCAAACGCAAGTGTGTGAATGGGCCTTTAGACGCAGGCCATAGGGGTCGACTAGTTTCTGAGCGACACCAACGCTGCAGATGCTTCAACGCGCGCGGATAGACAGGCGCAGTCCTGCCAAAGGCTAATGTCAGACCAGCACTTTCCTCCTCTGATCTCCTCCTTGCTCGTGCCCCTCAAGGCGGGGGACTGTAGCTACGTAGCATTATTAGCCGGCGATTGCGTCGCAATGCGTGGTGTACAGACGATGCAATTGCCGATTAAATTCGCGTAATTGCTACAAAAAAAAAAAAGAAAACAAAATCTTGATAAACATTAGTTTCACATAACGCTATCTGTGGCATCTTACCCAGCGACTAGGAACAGCACCGCGTTGGCTTGAACCTCAGCGTTGGACAGGCACCGATGCTTCCGAGCGCTCATCGAAGATTCAGCGGCTGCGAAACAAGGACAGCTCGTATGTCAAGAGATATACTTCGAGATTACACGAAGGTTCTCTTCCAATTGGTATTACCTAAAAATACCTGTATATGCACTGGCGGGTTATTGATAAGTTCACCAAACCGGCACAATTTGGAGCATGCAAAATCTCCATAAAATTTACCAGGTTATTCACGAAGAGTATATGCGGTGTAGAAACACGTTTTTTTTTTGTTAGAAACATGTCATTTGTGTCTTCTTTTAGTAGCGAAAGTTTTAATCCCTTACCAATGCCCGATATGCAGCAGAGGAATTGCAATTTTAACTTTCTACAATTGCGCTCAAAAGAAGTAGTTCGTCCCGACAACCCCGACTGTACACTGCTTTGGAATGACGCCTGTCATATCTCTAAAGTCGCAGATATATAGTTCACGTTGGCCTTTCTGTGCCTGCAGCTTTATATCGGTATTCACTTTCTATAACTCAAGGACTAAATGAAATAGTGTTTCTGTGGCCGGGTGTGTTAAAGCATCACAGTTAGGAGTAAGAGTGACGAAAGTTCGCACTTCAGAACCCAAGGGTCCCGGACTCAATCCCCGCCCTTACCAATGTCAATTTGGTGAGCATCGAACCGGCCTGCGTTCCTATATTACTATTGCGTGATGAACTTTAAAGAACCCGGGCTAGTGATCGTACTGCACTGGCTAAAATTTGTCCTCCACAGCGGAGGCAGCAGAAGATCACTGGGGCTGACTAACTTACAACTGCCTGAACATGCACATAATTACTTGTATAACAAGATAACTCACACTTAGGTGCCTCGCCGTCGTTGCCAACCGTGAGCTGGTGGACGTTTACAGCCTCAGCATTCAGCATTAGCTGCAACAGGTCTTGCCGACGAGCCTAATGTAAACACAGAGAGGGGCTGTCACCATCAGAGCGTCGAACCGAAATTTTGAACGGTTCGGTTCGGGTTCACGGCTTTCGGTTCAGTTCCAGTTCAATTTCGGGGAGAAAAAATAACTGTTAAAACCGGTTCGAATCGGTTTGAATAGCAAAATTGCGAATACATTTTCTGAGTTGTTTTGGCGATAAGGCACTATTTCAACCGTGAAACGAGAAACTTTGTAGCTTTTTATCATTCGTACAATCCACTTTTATTTTCAGGTACCAAAAATAAGAATTTTTTTTAAAATTTAAACGAAACAGCAAAGAAATGCAAGATTAACATACAAAACAACGTGTTCATACGACTCAGCCTGCATTTGTTTACCTTAGTCGCATATATTTTACCCGAATCAAAAGGTTGTCAACCTGGCAGCTAGGTCGCCTTAAATACTCGCTTCGCAGTATTAAAAGTTGAATCCTCGTTGTGCTCTTGAACTTAGAAATTAATTACAGTGCATAAAATCATGGAATGGGCACTTCCTCGCTATATATATTCTAAAATCTAGTTTACGCGATATGTTCCACAAGCTATAAAATGACGACGTAACTGAGCAAACCGCAATAATATTTTCAAAATGTCACGAAAGTTTTAGGACAAGCACTTGGAGTCAACCTTTTATAAAAACGCTGAGTGGCAATCACAACGCTCGTTATCCGAACCAAAAGTTTTTACAATCAGCACCGTGATGCAGGCGAATCATTATGCAGGAAAGAGGGATTGAAATTGTTCTTTCCAATCTATACGAAACTGCGTATTCGGATCGAATCTTGCCAAAAATAGAGCGTACACAAGTTAAGATTTTTCGCCATTGTTCGGCGTTTCAGGTAAGGGCTCATGAGTATGTATGTAATTAAGTATGCGTTTCCTGACAGATATTTAACTTCTCAAACATATAGGAGTTTGGTATTCCCGTTTTTCTGTCACGAACAACAATTTTATGTGTCTATAGGCTGACAAGAACAAAGTAGACAGGAGGGCGTGGTGGAACTATGACGACTCCGCGCGCAGACCGTCAGGAAGTGACCAGTTAAGTAGCTGCAATGTCGAGTACAGTATGAAATACTACTTTGTTCTATTTAACAAGAAATAACCAATTAGAAAAGGTGATTATTATTTGCACATTGAATTGACCGGCGTCTTGACAAGAACAAAACTCAAACGCCAAGCTATGTCGAAAATGTCCCCATGGGCACGTGGTATTTTAGACCAGATTCGATTTGAGTACAAAGGTGCATATAGATTAGAGTGAGGACTATCGATCACTTTTTTTTTGCATGTTTCTTCACCTGCATTACGCTGCTGTGGGTCAACAATTTTAGTCAAGAAAAGAAGCGTTGTGAGAGACGCTCATGTTGTGTATAAGCGGTGGAATGAAAGGGCTTGTCCTAAAACTTGCTTTCCTGTGTCTTTGAAAATATTATTGCTTTTAAGTCAGTTACGTCGTCAATAAATATATTGCGAAACATATTTCGTTAACGAGATTTCACGATATATATGGCGAGGACGTGCCCGTGCAGTGTAATTAATTTCTAAGTTCAAGAGCACAACAAGGAATCGAATTTCAATACTGTACCGCAAAGTTGTACAATCACGGGTATTTTACTTGACCTCCCAGACTGATTGCCTTTCGATTCGAGTAAAATATATGCAACATAGGTAAACAAATAGATGTTGAGTCGTATAAACGCGAAGTTTTGTTTGTTAATTGTTAATCTAGTTTTTTTTTTTACTGTTTTGTCAAAATTAAATAACGTAATTTTCTATTTTTGGTACCCGAAAATAAATGTGAGTTGAACGAATGATAAAAAGCTATATAGTTTGCCGTTTCACAGATGAAATAGTGTCTATTTCTAAAACAACGCGAAAAATGCACTCTCAATTTAGCGGTTCAAACCGGTTCAAACCGGTGCTGCCCTGAACTGAACCGAAACTGAAACGAAAGCCGTGAACCCGAACAGAAACCGAACCGATAAAATATCGGTTGGACAGCTTGAAAGTCAAGCACAGATACATCAATGGGTGTTCGTTTTATTGTGACTGTTAAGCCATTCTATGCATAAACATGACGTCATACGCCCGCTGAGCTGTACGTTGGTGCGTTATGAATGACCCGCACTGTGACATCGTGCGATAACGTGGGAAGTGAAGCTTCATCATTCCGAAGCTAATTGCGCCGACCCGGAAATATACTGCGCTCACATATGCGCGCCTATCAAACAAAACAAAAATCCCTCTGCTTGATCTTCTTCTACCCAATCACAGAAGTCAAATTTTTTATCTTTGATCGGTAAGGTCGCACCCGTGTAAACGCAGTCGCAGTCCTGTCGCTTGCCCTCCCTTCCATTTCACGGTTACGCCGAGCAAAGTCTGCGGGTCGCACGGCCCGGGGCTCAATTCCCACTGAGGCACTTGGTAAATTTCGGGTAGTACAATTATTTACGCCTTATTAAGAGTACGCATGATTAATAATGACGAAAATGTCATTTCTTCGAAAGTTTTTGCATTGTTTGTTATGGGCCGTGTGGGCTTTGTGCCGTTTTCGCCAGCGTGTAACCGTTTTTCGCCACATTCGAGCGTTACATCTTTCGCGTGAAATCTTGCCCATCAGCACATTCCGCGTTAAAACGTTAATGTCACGAAAAGCCAGGAACGAAAACTTGCCTCGGGGTTAGACCGGCGTATATCAATGATCGGCATAATGCAATTATACATTTTGTCCACGGGTAATTTCATAAAACGTTGTCTCCACATCAAAACCAGCTTCCATACCAAAGAAAATTCTGGAAAACAAGCTGCAAAGCACGAAATATCATAATTAGATGCGGTTGATTGAAGCTATACTTTGAATGCCATTTTTCAGCGAGGCTGGTGAAGTTAATATTTTTTAAAGGTAAGCATGTCGAGAAATAAAGCTAAAAAAATAAATTAAGATCTGGCTCATAGTAAAGGCCGGTTCACACTCTTGCAACCGAGTAAAACTGAGAGAGACCAGACCGGTTTTTAAGCTTCTTGCGATCTCTTAAGACCAGCTCCGTTGCAGCGCATCCGGTCCTAAGAAGTCGCAAAAGGCTTAAAAACCGGTCTAGTCTCTCTCGGTCTTACTCGGTCGCAAGAGTGTGAACGGCGCTTAACGATCATGGGCGCCCAACTTTGACTGACCACGAAAATATTTAAACTGTCTTAAGAATTCTAATAAACACGAGGAGCGCACAATCTGTCTAGCATGCCATGTGCGTGTTTTACGGTTTGTTGTTTGGTTACCAAATGCTTTACGTGGTCTATGATGATCAAGAAACGTTTCAATTTATTCAAGACCCGTAACGTAGTGAAACGACGTGGAGAATTATACTTTTAAACATTCGCAACATTCGTGCTCGCGCCGACAGCCACCTGCTACCACACGATCCCTTGAGTTATACTTATTCTGGTTGTTTGCTCTCTTTTTCGCCTTCTCCAAGTTGTGCCGAGCAAGGCTGTCGGATTCGGGGAACGTGGTTCGATTCTCGCTACGGTGCTTGATAAATTTCGGTTACTTTAATTACGTACGATTAATTACTTTTAATTTTGTAATTCTATTCTGCTTATGTTTGTACAGTCGGATGTTAGTTAGCCCCAATGGGCGTTCGGTGTCTCAGCTGTATCGCACGTCTAACACTTGCGGTTTCGCGGGTAATTGCGCGCCGGCGGAAAGTGGATTTTGAAGCCAGGTAACGAAATGGACTCGTCACTCGAGGAAAACCTGGATAAGTCAGGAACCCAGGTCCAGATTTTACGGCAGCGGCGAGTCCATTTAGCTACGCGGATCCAAAATTCACATTCGGCCTGCGCGGAACCGCCGACGAATCGGCAAGTGTAAACGCGCCAGTAGAAGAGAATTTAGCCAGTGGAGTACAACCGGCAGCCTGGGGTCTTTTGCGTGCACCACAAAGCAGTGATACAAGGCCGCACGCCGGTACGATGCTCATCCAGATCGAAATAGAAAGGGGAGGGGATTGAACCGAGGATCTCTGGGTTCTGCAGCGAGAGCTCTTACTCCACGTGCTTCGAGCTGGTGTGTGCTAGAGCCTCTAAATAAGCTACGCTGCAGAGTAACGACACTTGCTCATCTTGAGGCTTGAATTCATGGTTGCCAGTTATCTGAATCTTTATCTGAATTGCCAGGAAACGGCTTACTGTCCTCCACAAAAGTTAAAACAATTCGCGACACAGAAAAGCATTATGACATATGCTTTCCAACAAAGGATCTAATGCTGAGGAAGCCGCACTTTTGAAACATAACAATCGGCAGTTGCGTCTGCTCTGCACAAGCACGAAAATGGCGGCGCTCACAATAATATCGGGGAATATCGCTACCCCGCTCGGCCACCAATCGGCTATGATTAATTTTGACTAAGCATGCTTCTATACGCTCTGTAAACTTTTATATGATTGTGCATTGACGGCTACGGATATTTGTGCTTTATGTGGCCTTGGCCTGCCTGGCTTTTCGTCAAACCCAAGCACAATGCGATTTTATATAACGCTGTCCATAAACGCCTTCTGTCCCAAAAGCAAAAAAAAAAAAAAAAAAACTTTTCCTGTGCTTACCAACAAAAAACTCCATCCAGCCCGTGCGGAATTCGTTGAGGCCGTCCAGAATCATCTTCACGATCGCGTTCATGCCCGTCGTTCCTGGATTCTTCTGAACGTTCGATTGCACCCCGAAGGCCGACCGCACAATCACGTCCAATGAAAGCTTCTGGAATACCTCCCTTATTTCGAAAGCCTTTTCCTGTTCGTGCAGAGAGTCAAGAACTTCCAGGAACTCGTCGGTGCAAGTGTCCATGAGGGGCAGCATCTGTGGTATAGGTGTGCGAGATTATGGATCATTTTGTTCCGCGCTTGTCCACTGCGCGTTGTCTTCTGCTCGTTCAAACGAAAGCGACCCCGCGGTATACCAAACATAGACCCGGTAATTGCGATAAGAAATAAATGCAGGCCTAAAAAGTCTTGGGGTAAGTAGGCTCCGTGTGAACAGTAGATACAAGGAGATGTTGCTCATTGTTACTCGTGGCCATCACCGACTTGTTATGCTTGATTCCCTTTGTCCGATTCTGGTTGCGATTTTCAGCATGGACGTCGAACATTGCCGCTACCGTGCGCGCTTTCGCAAACCGAGCGACGTCGTGCATCAAAATAGCGAGCAGGATCTTCATACGGGTTTAGTGTCCATTCCGCTGCGCTCACGCGTAGGAGTCGCCGCACGTCACATCACTTACGCAAAGTTTCGTCGTGCCACTATCCTGGTTAATTTCAGTCAGGCCATAAAGTGGGGCATTGAAAAAGAGCAGGGGGACTCACACCGAGGCGGATAACATGACATTTGATGGTTTGTTGATGCGGAACGTGGCACTTCTTGCTTACACTCCAACGCGCATGCGCAGCGGCGGTGGCGTGCCGCTAGGGGCACTCCGGTTCTCGAATGATCTGGCAGAAGTATGACACTCACTTTTTTCATGTTGCTCGAAGTGAAGGCGGGTGTCAGGAGACTCCGCATGTCCTTCCATCGCTCTCCGTCCACATTAATGAGATTGAACTTGCTCACTTGGTGTTGTCTGTTGACAGCAGATGTGACCTGCATGCGCAAAGTCCTCGTTGAAGGCCGGTTCACACTAGAGTTTGTTCATGATCGTGTTTTTGTGATCTCTTACGACGAGAAGACACACTGGCGCGCTAGCGCCATCTATGAGATGACCCTGAAACTTCATTGTACTGGAGCGAGGGTACTGCGGGATTTCCGAGACCAAAACTATGGTGCCTGGAACGCGTCTCCGACTGGTGTGTTTACCGGGTTCAAAAAAGTGGTCCCTCGATTTCCGCCTGATGACGTCATGGAAGTACCATGCTGTCGCCTGTTGCGACCCTGGCGGCGCCTCAACAGTTGTGGTATAAGTGGCAGACGCCTGTTCTGCTGCAGGTCGCTTTCCACTGTGACAGGTCACGGAAGCTGGAGCAGCCGGAAGTTGGGGCGCCTAAAGGGACGCCGTGACGAAAGCGACACTCGCGTTCGCTCGTGCTTTTCGCCAGCATTTCTACGGCCAACCGCCAGGATCGCGACAGGCAACAGCATGACACTCGCGGCATTTGTTGCCACATTGGGACCACTTTTGATGTATGGGCGGGATAGGACGCTAAACACACCAGTCGAAGACGCGATCCAGGCACCATACCAAAACGTTTGACAATGTCATAGACGACCACAGGGTCGTTTATGACATTGTCAAACGTTTTGCAGACTAATAAAAGAACAACACCGAAATAATGCTGCGCGAGCAATTAAAAAATACACGAGAATGGTAAGCGTTCGACGACTCTTCATAGATCGCGCTTGTGTGTTCTTTTGTTGTAGGATATTTTAAATGGCCGTAAGTAGTCGCATGCCTGCGGAACTGCCTTAAGTACTAAGAGAGTCGGCACAAGTTTCCAATATATCTGCCTCCAGTCCTTCCTGACGTCAGTTTAAAATGATGTCGCTTTGTTCGTTGTCCGGATGAGTGACAGTCTCACTGAAGGATCTTCCGGTTGTATAAACGTCAAACAGCACGTAGAAATAAAAAAATTAAAAAAAAACAATTCATGCAGATTTGGTGAATAATAGTACGAAAAACACGCGAACCAGATAAAAAAATCTTATCAATAAGTTTGTGGCTCACCCCTCTTCCGTGGAAGTTTCCAAAGTCCTTGATCTGAATTTTCTTGATCAAATCCAGGTCCTTGACAAGCAGCATCGGCTCAGCTCCATTGTAAAACCTAGAGCGTATTTCGTATAAAAACGACAGGAAATATATTACACGGATTACCTTTATTTATATATTATAGCTGCCAGTCCTGTTCATAGTCCCAACAATACATATGCAGATAACCGCACACCTCAGAGACCACGATGTTTTTTCTTTGCATTGCAAGGAGTCGTTTAAGCTTTTACAAAATTAATTTGCAAAAAAAAGCAAAACAATAACATAATGAGTTATAAATCATCGCTCACCCTACGACGTCCCCGTATTTATTCACCCAGGTATCGAACGTTTGAGATGCTCCCTAAAACACGACAGAAAGGAAAGGTACAAATAAGGGAACTATAAGAATAACACACGGGAATACGATCACAAAAATATTACAGTGGCTTGTTTCGGAGATGAATTTAGAATATCCGTGCTGTGCCCTGAATCCAGCGGCTTACGACTGTAAGTAGTGAGGCAAGTATTTAACTATTTTACCCTTAAACTGCGTTGTCCAGCTTCTCCGCTCATTTTCTTAGTTATGCTGTGGTCAGGTTGTTAAGCACTAGGTATGTTAAATGATTAATTCAGATTCCTCTCGTACAAAACAGTGGTGCAGGTTCCGCAACTTTTACGAGTTAAGATGAAGCAGACGTGTGTACACGTTACTGAAATAAAGTAACCAAATATTGTCACTCGTTCAGTGGCGCACCAACTTGTTTTTGAGTGGGGCTATCGATACGGAAGGCGGTATGACAAAAATCGTCCCCACTTTGCTATTTCTTTATAGCCTGTGTTTATCAAAATTGTTTTCAAACATCAGCTGACAGATGTCGCCTTTACTTTTATGTTGAATGCGTATGCAGTATCTGATCAAGCCGGCTTTAGACCATAACCGCTCATTCACACTGGAAGCGGATCCGCGTTCGCAAAGCGGTTGCGAACGCGGTTGTATGAAGATCCAGTGCAATGGCACGCCGCCACTCGATGACATCAAGTACGCGTGCAATAGACCCTTTCCGGAATTCAGACTGACCACTTTGATCACTATCATCATCATTTGAAAACGGCATATGTGCTATACTAATGGCGGACTTCTGTTTACTTATGAAGAAAGAAGTTGAAGATGCTCCTAAGCAGATGATTCGAGGCCTATACATTCTAGATGTCAGCGCGGCGTGAAGCAGGAGTTTGACGCAAGAGCTGCGTAAGCGTTAATTTCTAACTCGGTCCCAGTCAATCTGTTAGTAGCACTCATTCGGCTTCAAAGCCCCTTGATGTATAGAACTCTATCAAGGCGTTTATGGGGGTTGGAGCTTCGCTCCGACTGGCTGCATTTGTTTCGCTACCAGTACTAAAAGAGATTGAAAAATGATTGCAGTGAAGTGCACATTCTCGTTTACCGTTGACCTTTAAAAGTGACGGTGCCCCATTAAATACTGCAGACCACAGGTTCATTGGCGCAATTAGTATAGTAAAAGATTTACTGCCATTTGAGTCACCAGATGGCACTGAATTCCGGAAAGGGTCTATTGTACTGGATCTTTATACAACCGCGTTCGCAACCGCTTTTCGAACGCGGATCCGCTTCCAGTGTGAATGAGCGGTTACGGCTGCAGCCCCCCCTCTTCCTTTTTCTTTAGTCAACAATGAGACTCTCTATTCAATTATGCTTGGTGTCGTCAAATCTATGCAATCGCAAAGCGCGTTTCGCTAAACTCGACACATCTTGAATGTGTATCCCCTGTTCGCTGTCCCCGTCAATATGTACTTGATTTGGGATGCTACTTTTGCGCGTAAAGACAAGCTTAACTGGCCTCAGCCTATAAACTGTTGTCAAAGGAGCTTTGCGTAAAAGCGATTTCTATTTAGTTTAAGTAGTCAACAGTGTAATGCTCCAGACTGTTATTAACGAAATCAAATATGAAAATGATCTCTATTACGTATTGTTGAGATCAATGTAACGCTTTGTGCTTAAATTAGCCACAACGTGTGTGTTGCCGTCTGGCATGAAAGTTCAATGTCTCCTGAAGATGGTTTCTGATGAGTTTTAATATTTTAACCCTGTTAATCGCCACTCTTTAATTGAATAATCGGTGAATTAATCGGTCTCGTTCATCTGCATGTTTAATATTCTTAGAACGCCAGAATTACTATTCTTTTTTGCCTTCAATAAATATGTGATAAACTGAGCAATACATACTTTTGACTAAAATCAGCTTCAATGAGAACAGTTAAAAAAATACAAGCACTCACAGATTCCTACTTCACCTGCATAAGCCAGAAGGGTTCATTGATAGTTTCCGTCAAGAACGATCTCCTCTGATTCTTCACAATAGTCTCTGCTGCTCTAAACGCACAACCGCTCAATGCTGAAGTGGCCGAAACACGGATAACGATCTTAAGTTGTCTGAAGTCACAAATCGTGCCCTTACAGTTTACTTTAAGGTTTGGTATTCCACCTAAAGTTCGACCTTTATACAGGTGTACCCGTCCTCGTAAGCGTGGTGAAAACATTGAAATTTTACTTTTTTTTTGGTTCGTCACATTTTGCCGATTCAAAAAAGCGCGATTAAAACAGTTATTGATTAGTGAATAAATAATGAATCAATTATGCAGCGTTAATAATTTTACGTACACCTTGTCGATCGTCAGTGCAGGCCAACTGAAACGTATATTACACGTGGTGAACTTGCGAAGAACCAACAAACAAAATAACGACTTCACAAGAGGATTTTTCGTTACTGCTGCTGAGCCCTTTGCACATACCCTTTCAATGAGTTCAGACAGGTTTCCGGAGAATAAACTTGGTTTGGGTCCGGGTATTCCAATGTCCATGAACAATGAAAACCGCTTCCGTCTCCACCTGTGTCAATATCATTTTTTTTACCACTCGACAAAGACTTTAAAAGAGTGTTCTGCACCTGATAATAACACACCCCTTAGAACGTCATGACACGTCACGCATTTTGTTTGAAAACCAGGCGGTGTTTACACCAACAATAGAGCACTCACAAAGAGTGTGTTCGCAAATGATGCTTAATAAACAGCCGCATTATGATTCATAGCTGGTAGCGCATCTGTGCGTTTTAACAAAAAGAAAAGGGGAGGTTGTTTTTGTATTACGATATATGCTTGTAAATCAAAACAAACAAAGCATAATTTAAAGTAGCATCCAAAGAATAATTTTAGACATCAAAGAAAATTATTGCATGCTATTGCAACTTAAGGCCTTGGTTCGCAATTTCGGTGTGTGTTCTTCTGAGTCTGTTACAATAAACGTATTTCTTCGCAGTCTGCCCCGTAGGGGGAGCGGCGCAGACGTCATCAGGCCTTCGCAATATCTTTGCCTTCGCCCGTCTATTGTACCTGACGGTAAGTATAGGAATTAAATTACACCAAAAACATTTCCCTCGGTGACGCGTAGCGCTAAGAAAAAGCTGCTCTGTCTCCGATTACAAGGCCAACCATCCAATTCGTTCGATTTGTGTAGTTTTATCACGGTAATAATAGTCGTAATAAAAACGACGAGAGTAACCGACAACTTACGAAGCGCAGGGCGTGATACATCCTGAGCACGTTATTTTTTCTTTCTAGTTGATTCGTTCTTCAGCCTTCTTCTTTGCTAGTGCCGCACGCTCATTGGTTGCAGAGCCTAAACAAGTTTATCGAGGCTAGCTGCACCCTACGTTTCTTGAGCTCCCAGCGACTATGCGGGCAGAAACTGAGGGAAAGGAGGAGACAAGAGCGCGCGGGGACTTTATACTGCATCTCATGAGTTGCGTGCAGCAGAGGCAAAACCACAGGCGCGAGGGCCTGGCTTTGATATCTGTTTTTTTTTTCACGAGCACTCGCGAAAAGAAAGCACATCTGAAAGCCACGTGCCCGCGCCAGTGCCTTTGCCTTTGCTGCACGCAACTCCTGAGATAGAGAATAGAACGGCAGAGCTCTGCCTGGAACGATCAGTGGCCTGCCTCGTCGAAAGCGCTAGAGCGCGTAACGCCGGCATTCTCGTTCGAACGCTCTCGAAGAGTGCAGTCGAGGGAAGGGCAGTTAACTTTGCCTCTATCCACTGATCATACAAGTCAACTCGGCGTTCCGAGGTACCCGGGCGCTCTCATATCCTCCTCTCTACCAGTTCAGTTTAACATCTGCACAAGCTGACGTTAAATACCCAGACTTTGAATAACAGACACTACTGGCGACGAGATCGACCACTGTCTAACTTGTTTTCCCCAGGGCTCGGTGTTTACCCAACACGAGGCCCGTGAACTTGATTCCTCACGATGGAGCTCGGGGCAGGGAGCAATATGAAAGTTGTTAACAATAAACCGTTGGTGGAACGCGGCAAAGCCGGACCATCGTTAAAAAGCAGTTCCTAATGGACGTGAGCTTAACTCACTTTGGCCTGAGTGCTGTGTAGTCGATGGGCACGTGCAATGAGAATTCTTCATTGTTCGCCCAGGCCGGAGTTGCCACGAAAGAGCGTCTCCTCCGGCGACGAGACAAAACGTGCCTCAGCCGAACGCTTACGCCGCGTTTGACTGCGTAATTGTTGTTCTTGTCCCCACAGGTGGAGTTCTAAAGTTAGCCACCAGAGGCGCGGCGGTTGGATCTCCTCCCCTCTACAGCGTTTATACACTAACTGAATTCTCTGACGTCACTGATGCGATGGCGCTGCTGCCCGCACTGCACTTGAGGAAACACTTCGCTTCTTCCTGATCCGGTTTCCGCGCACGCGCAGTGTGCGCGAGAAAACTAAGAATCGTTTGTAGACAGCGCGTTTGTATAAATATATTGTATTCGACTTCCGTAATAACGAAGTTCGAGAGCGTGATCAATACGCTTCGCCCGGAAAAAGAATGGCTGGCTCTTTCACACCGCACAAATCATTTTTTACAATCCTACTACTACAGCCCCTTGACAGTTCTTAATAAGTGTTATTTAATGAGAGAGATATAGTTACTGATTTCTAGAGCCGATTTACGATCCCATTTTATCTAGACCGGTAAATATATTTGACGTATGACTCCTGCAATAATGTCTGGTATATTTTATTAGGTATTCGTTTCTTTACCCCCAGGGACAGATGCATTACGTAGGGGATTGGGCAACGCGAGTGAAGCACAGTAAAAGAAAAGAGAGCAACAGTAAAACATATTAAAAATAATACAGCTCTAGGGGATGTTCGGAAAAAGAGAAGTAACAGCAGTTTGGAAATCTTTGTAATCGAGAATTCCGACGATGGCTCGGAAAAAGAAGGTGGTTTCACCTTTTCTCGTGTAAGGCACATTATTGTGTATTTATATAGGTAGATAATTTGCGACTTGATGCTTTTGTTGTTTTGTCTGCTTTTGAAGCCGCTGGCTATGTAACGGGTTCAAGGCTCTTTCAAACTGCTTTCAGCAGCTTTTTGTCTTGGCAGACCTTTCAGTGTACGTTTAAAAAAGGATGAAGCGTTGAATAAAAATACAAGATTTACCAACTGTCTCTAAATTTAGAGCTATACTCATTTTTGTTTTTGTATTTTTGGTATTGAGAGAATTCATTACTTGCTGATGGTGCATCACTGGTAAAATGCCTATGACCTTACAGTAGCAAGAACAAACGTCTGGATACTCACAAGTAGAAGCATGCGAGAATGATGACGATCAGCGCCGTCCATACAGGTGCCGGCATGTCGTAGGAATCCTCGATAGAAAACGAAGCCAGTTTTTCTGGTCGACTCTAGGAGCGGAGAACTTTCGAAAAAGACACCAGCCATAGAAATAGTGATTCCTCCGTGTTCATTGTCCGAACCAGTGTTGTAAGCGTTCCTCCAAAACAGGAACGGAAGCTCGTACCTCGTTTCTTCTCAAGTTTGGAACAAGTTCACGTTTCAAGTTCCAGGGGTTCGAAAATAACGCGTTCTTGGTATACCTTTCTAAGAGTGGAACGTGTCGTGGCAATAACGTTATTTTGCATATTTGAATGAAATGGCTTGTTCTGGATAAAACGCAGGTAAAATAAAGCGAATGAAAATATCTGCATCAAACCGTGTGTCGAGTCCCCATAGTGACAATTCCTCAAGTTCTTTGTTTTCGACTATCTCCTCGAACGCTTCCTCATCCCTTGCAGTCGGAAGTTAAAACAGTCGAGAAGCCCAAATGCCCACTAAAATCGGGTAAGGTTCCCGATAAATAGACAAAATAAAAGCAACGCCGTTTCTCCTACCGTTCTCTCGAGCACGTTTCCGTTCCAGTTCCAGAGAAGCAAGATTTAAGAGGAACGGAGGAAAGGCGGTGTTCTTCCCTTCCTCCGAAAGGAACGCGTTAGCGGAACGACGCTACGCCGTTCTGTACAACACTTGTTGAAACCACGTAGACCTCTTCAGCTCAAAAAAAGTCATGCCGTGCAAATAATACAAAAGAGAGATAACTATGATGCTGGCCCCTCGTACCAATCAATAATCTATCCGATATGGTGCGATGGGCCCTCCGGAGCGAACTGCGCATGGGCTACCACAGAACGCTCGCACACGCGCAGTTTTTACCTGAGGGCAGTTTTTACCGGAGGGTACCGGACGTGCAAACATCTCTATACTACGGGACAACTTCTCTTGGCATTTCCGGGGACAGGAGGAGAGCCCACGCAAAGCATTAATCAGCGCTCAAAAATGAGAGAGGAGAATGCGTGCCTGAACATGGTGATAGTTAGGGGGAGAAAATTGGCTTAGAAGGGCGGGAGGGATCAAATGTTTGTCTTTCTTAGACTTAGGCTAGGTGGCGAAGGCTACCGCCCGCTACAAAGGGTAGAGCCAGTAACATCCATCTATCCATCTTTCCTTCCAATGCATTGCCAAGAAAAGTTGTCCCCGAGTGTAATCACGGATAATAAATGAGCCGCAATTTTCTTTTTTTTTGTTTGTGAGAGATTGGTTTAGCCGTCTTATGCAGACCCCCAAATGCTTCGAGGGCCGTGACAAGACACTTTTGGGGAATACGCTATTGGCTCGAATAAATGGTATAGCGTCGGCTGCGGTCACAGTGCTGCTTTAGTAACATTCACATTTATGCCTAAGTTCCTCTCCAGTTCACATTTTGTAGAAATCAACGCTGATGAGACGCCGTATTAAGAAAACTCGGAAAGCAAATGTTTCTACTTTATCGATAAAGTTGAAACGGGAGCACTTGGCTTGCAAACACAATAACTGTATATAATAACTGGTATATTTTATATCTAAAGAAAGATAAATAAAAAAACGAAAGGTGTGCACAATAAGGAAGAAAGAAGAAAGGATGACATCGCTGCTGTCACTACGCTGATTTTCGACAAACCGCGTCTGCATTTGCGCAGAAATCCCGACCTCTCAACTGTTCGCATACTCTTTTGTGTTCGGAGAGCCAGTCTGTTCTCTCGGGGCGTCGGCCAGATTCGAACGCCGCCACCACAGCCGCCTCCCTCTCCCACTCCGCGGCTGCCTTTGAAAGCGTGTAAGAAAACTTTCCCTCTCATAAGACGAAAAGTAGACGTAACCATGGAAACGAAAGGAGCGAGTAGAGAACGGCTGGGAACCGCGCACCGCGCCTTGCTAGCACGAAACCATTTTAGTTCAGTCCAGTCCAGACCAGTCCAAACCAAGCCGCGATCGTTCAAACGAAAGACGGCTGCATGCTCCGGGAAATTAAACGCTAACGCAACTAAAAAACATATCTTGCTTACCAGGGATTCGGATTCCCGCTGCGGTCAAATCAAGCAGAGAAACAGGCAGGATTGGGCCTATTGGGCGAACTAACGGACAAGGTAAGTCACAAGAAAGTTTAAATACCGTAGGACCCTTTGTTCACTCTAAAAAAAAAAAAGCCCGTGCGTCTGCTTTCTCGCACAACACCCGGGGAGCCAATCATCACAACTTACGGAGGCAGCTCAGCGAATGACAATGCGGAAACATCTGTTTAGACCAAAAAACGCAGTCTGAGTTGTGACATTAAGCAATGCAAGCGTGACGTTTTGCATTGCTTAATGTCACAACTCAAACTGCGTTTTTTTTGTCTAAACATATGTATCGGCATTTTCATTTGCTGAGCTGCCTCCGTAAGTTGCGGTGATTGGCTCTCCGATGGTTGTGCGTGAAAGTAGACGCACAAACTTTTTTTTTAGAGTGTTCAGCAACGCTGGATGACACTGGAAAATGCCGGCAGTCCCGAACAATGGAGCACGGCTCGGCAAACCCCGAAGGCTACGATGTCCGTGTGCCAATCACAACGACGAAGCGATGCACGCGACAGCTTTCCACAGGAAGCGATGCTCGCCGGCGATACGTCATTACCAGCCTTGCTCTGGGGCTCTGATTGGCCCGCTGCGCCGTACCTTTTGTCATCTGGCAAGTCATTCACCTGGCTCGGTACTCGAGTCAATATACGACCGGCTGTTTCTGACAATTGACGCTCACTCGGCCTTTAAAAAAAGGTGTGCGCGTCAGAGGAGGAGGGAAAAGATTTCGCTACCTTTTTTATTCAGGTGCAGTAGACGTAGCGTGCTCAGTGGAAAGCGTTTTTATTTTTGTCTGCTTTCACGTGGCCATTCACCCCAGGAACCGCAGTAAAAAAAAGGTCCAGCTCCTCGCCGGAACGCTACTAATTTTCCCCCTCCTGTGCTGCATTACGAACAATTAGGTGCATCTCGGATTAGACTATGCATTTGATTAAGATGTACTACACGTTTCATAAGCCAAAATCATCGCTTCTTTCTTCGGCAACTAAATTTCGTAAGAACTACCTCGTCCTGTGCGTAAATAATTCGCAGAACGTCCTTTTTTGCTTGATCTGAAAACGAGTAGAGTCAAGAAGGTCGCGCTGCTGATCTTGCGACGTAAACTAAGAAGGCGAACGCGGGGCGCTGATTGGTCGCTACTGTTGCGCCAGCGTTCGGCCGAGACTCGTCGTCCAATCAGCGAGGATACCAATGTCAGCCGAACGCCGACACAGTACACGTGACCAATCCGCGTTCGCCTCCTTGGGTGAGGTTGAGAATTCAGCACTACGTCCCTCTCACTTATACAAGTTGTCACACTAAGGAAAAAAAAAAGGAGGTTTTTGCGAATTACTATTGCGCTGCGCGAAGCAGCTCTTACAAGATTTAGTTGCCGAAAGAACAATCGGCGCTTTGGCGTCTGAAACATGTGCTTTTTTGTTATAATAACGCAAATCTAATCTAAAATGCCCACCCACCTAAATCTTAATTCAACACATGAATGGGGACATTACTAATGTTCCGTGCAAAAACGGATTTGTTTATTTTTTATTAACGTTTTCGAGGAGAATAGAAGCACACTTGTAAACTTTACAAAAATAATGTAAGGAATTACATTTGCAATTACCCAAGACTAAATGTAACTCATTACAGTTAAAATTTCACTTCCATAAAAGTAAGTGACCGTTACTTCAAAAAAGTAATTCGTTACTTTCAACCTTACTGTCCAAGGGTAAGATACAAGACATAGCGTTTGTTGTTGCCGCAACTCACACTTTTGTTACCTTGAGCAACATCTGGCTCTCAAAGAGTCTCATCGGACATGTTGCCTTGTTTCTATGGGAATATGTCGTCCGCTGCACTAAACACCTTTCTAGTCAAAACTTTTTTCCAAATAGGTGCTGCCACCTGGACGCGCGACTGAGCAAAATAACTTGTTGTTGGGCAAGTTGGTGTTGACCAGTCTTGTACACGTTACTAAAAAGAAGTAATCGATTACAATTACTATTACTCTTGGCTAAAAAGTATTCGATTAGATTACTTGATTACTCGACGGCAAAAGTAATTGGACATTACTTAAAGAAGTAATCGTTACTTTTCCGATTACTTTATTGTGTGATCTTTAGCGCTCATAACAATGAACTACTTCCAACCTATATTTCACATTTGCACAAGTATTGAAGAAGAAAAACTGGCTCCCTCTTCGTGGTCGTTGCTCCTTCACAATGCGGACAGAAGCATAGAATTTGTTTGTAGACGTTTAATGATTTGGGCGTTCGCCAGTGTGTGTGTGTGGGGGGGGGGGGGGGAGGGGGGGCAGAGGGGGTTTTAGATCTCGTTAAGCTTGAGCAAGGGTTGTCGCTCAAAGTTTGCGTCGCTCATTTTATTATTCACATGTGTATGAGCTCGCATGTTATACAAAAGAGCAGCAGCTCCAGGATTTGAAATGGATCATGTGTAGTATACATTAGCGGAAGAGATCGCCCCGACCACTTTTCAACTCGAAACATTGCTTGTCACAAAGACCACGTAGGGGAAATGGGGAAATATTTCTATTGCCTTTGTTATATTTTGCATCCGCTTTAGGCATTCTTCGGTTCTGGTTCTCCCACGGGCTGCGAGTAGGTACCCTAAGCAGGATTTTTTTATTTTTTTATTTCTGTGTATGTGTGCGTGAGGGGGCTAGTTTGAACGAAGGACTCACAAGGCTACATTCTGCTTCCTCAAACTTCGCCCTGAATGGTCTTTGTCACGCACTGCGGCTTTCCTGTGGCTTCCCACTCCCAGTCCCAGCTCGAAAAAAACAAACAAAAAAACTGACATTCCACAGAAACTGTACATAGAAAGAAATTAACCTCATTTCCAACAGCTCCGCAAAAATCTTTCTTTTTTCCGTTCGAAAAAAAAAGCAAATTTTATTTTTGTCATTTCATAAAAAAAGACGTGTGCCGGGGGGGGGGGGGGGGGGGGGTCC